CGAAAGTATATTTAAAAATAAATTGTGGCATCCATGTGTAGTAAAAGGACAAAGAAATGTAAGGGAATGATAAACACTGAATTAGATAGGCAAATGTGGCATGTGATTGGAGAAAGAGAAGTACTCAGAGGGCTTCAATTATATTAATAATATTCCTTAAGCTGTGGGGAGGATACAAAGGTGCTCCTTATAGTATTCTCTAAACCTTTAAATATATATACCTGAAATGTCTCATATTTTAAAAATTAAGGAGCCCTATAGTATAGCCATTGCTCTCTAAGAAACTCACAGTGTGCACAAGGAGACATGTAAGTGTGAACATTATAGCATGTAACCACAAAAAGTGGCAAATAACCTAAATGCCTGTTGTCAGGAGAATGGATAAATGAATTGAATATCCTTATAAATTAAAGCCATTAGTATTTAAAATGAATGAACTAGAGTCATGTGTATTAATGTGGATAAATCTCAAAACATAACTTGAGAAAAAGGTTACCATAGGATATTTTCTTTTTCTTTTTTTTTTTTGCATGTCTGGTAGCATTTATTGTGCAACAAGCCCATGTGACAGATGCTGTCCCACTTCTAAATTGCCTCTCATTTCTTATAACTAAACTTCCTGAAAAGCTCCTGATGAAGCAGCACACACTGGACTGCTCCTATGTGTTGGCTAGAGCCACAGGAGGTTCACAAGAGAACTAGGAGAAGTGGCTGTTAATAATAGCTGCACTTTTGTGCAACTTGCTTGTGTGTCAGACACTGTACTGAGGGCTTTATGTAGATCATGGCAATTAATCTTTGCAACAACTGTGGTTATCCCCATTTCCCAGATAGAGAAACTGAAGGGTTGCCTAACTTGCCCTAAGTCACCACAGGTAATAACTTCACAGCTGAACCTGGCAGTCTGACTCCAATGAGTAAGCTCTTTTTCATGCCACTTTCTTGCTCCTGAGATGTACCACAGAGTATTATCAATATGGTAACATTTATATAAACATTTAAAACATGCAAAATAATTATATATATTCTTTATGGTTACATACATATATAAAAAAGTATAAGAACATAGTTGGAAGGTATGATAGTTAATTGTGAGTATCAACTTAGCTAGGCCATGTTACCCAGATATTTGGTCAAATGTTATTCTGTTTCTTTGAAGTTATTTCTTAGGTGAGATTAATATTTAAATCAGTAGACTTTGAGTAAAGCAGATTACCCTCCATAATGTGGGTGGGCCTCATCCAATCACTTGAAGACCTTAATAGCAAAAGACTGACTTCTCCAAGAAAAAAAGAATTCTGCCAGCAGACTGTCTTTGGACTTGAACCACAACTCTCCCCTGGCCTCCAACCCACTGGCCTACCCAGCATATTTTGGACTTGCCAAGTCTTCACAATTATGTGAGCCAATTCTTCAGAATAAATCCTTCCATATATATGTATATCTATACATATATACTGTTCATTCTGTTTCTCTTGAGAACCCTAATACAGGATAATATTTGGGTCAGAACCTAAATTCAAGATGGTGAGTACCTCTAAGAAGGAAGGAGAAAGGGATTGGGAATGATATACAAGAAGCTTTAGCTGTACTGTAATGTTTTATTTATTTTAAAAAATATGAAGCAAATACAGCAAAAATAAAGCTTTGACAAAGCTAGGTGATTGGTACACAGTATTTGTTATAACATCTCTGCTTTTCTGTCAGCTTGAAATATTTCATTATAAAACAAATTATGGAGTTTATTAGGTTTACCAGAGTATAAAAATATTTTTACCCCACATGGGAATCCTGAGGATGTATTAAAATAATGATTGAGATGTTTATTAAAATGAACTTATTTGTTAAGCCAGGCAGAAAAAGATAAATGCCAAATGATTTCACTCATTTGTAGAGTACAAAAACAAAGCAAAACAGACGTAAGAAAATGGCAATAGACTCATAGACACTGAGAAGGGACAGGTGGTTACCAAAGGGGAGGGAGAAGGGGATGGTAGTACTGCACAGAGTATACAATTAATGACTCTATGACATCTTACTGTGTTGATAGACAGTGACTGCAATGGAGGGGGTGAGGATTTGATAATATGGATGAATGTTGAACCGCTGTGTTGTGTATTTGAAACCGTCGTAAGATTGTGTATCAATGATACTTTAATAATAAAAAAAAGGAGGAATCTTACTATACTGATGGACAGTGACTGCAATGGGGTATGGGGGGAACTCAATAATATTGGTGAATGTAGAAACCACATTGCTTTTCATGTGAAACCTTTGTAAGGTTTAGTGTATATCAATAATACCTTAAAAAAAGAAAAAATATTTCTGAATGTTAATCTTTCTGTTTAAATGTATACAAACACAGGAAAATATTTTTAATATTAAAAATGATATACTTTTATGATAATTTATGACTTGGAGATGTTTATCAATGTGTTTGGGCATAATCTCTATGTAAGACTTTGAGTTTTACTACACAACCCCAAAACACATCTAAAGCTGGTGGGTCAGTTCTATACTCACTAGTATGCAAACTGTTTCTGATGCACTGGCTTTTTTCATGTCTGTATTTTCATTGAGGTCAGGTCTGTATTATGGCAGCAGCTTTCTGCCATCCACTTCTTCACTTCCCAAGACATTCTATACACTAAATCAATATTATTCCCCTAAAAGCCTCAGTTTCATCAAGCTAATTTTTGCTTAAAAATCTTCCAGTGGCTACTCAGTTTCAGCAAGATAAGGCCCAAAGTCCATAGCTGTTATTTAGGGTTCTCACTGACAGTGCAGCCTTACTTGCTACTAGTTTGAGCCTAATTAAGCTTGTCACATCTTTCTTCCCATATAAACCTTTTGAATCCTACCTCTGTACAATTTTGTCCTTGCTATTTACTTCACCAGTCCTTTCCAGTCATGAATCCTACTTTAAGACATTCCTTGTTTTACATTCCTCAGTTGCTTTTTTGATCATTCCCAAATTTATCTTGTTTCTGCTTTCAGAGTGTGTGATATAATGTTTATTCATTTTAGCATATATATATATATATTCTAACCTGAATTATCAAAATAATTTCATGTGTATATATATCTTACTCTCCTAAATTAATTGGGAGTTCCTTGAAGGTAGAGACTATTTTATACGTCTTTCATAATCCCCATATATATAACACAGTGTTAATTAGTTATTAAACATTTTTGTTATTTTCAGTTAATATAAAAAATTATTGCATATTTCCATTAAAGTTGAATGTAAAATCATTGTACAGTTCCACTGAAAAGGAGGAATTAATAGTTGTTCTCTTTTTAGGTTCCCTGTTTTAAATTCAGTGGCTGTGCAGCTCCTACACAATGTTTAGGATTACCATGTTACGGTGTGTTTTTACAGGTATGTTTTTTTAATAGAAGAAAAGGAATGCTTTTTGGACTTTAACAAGTAAAGCATGTAATCTATTTTTCCATAGGTTAATAAAATAACAATAATTTTAAAAGAATAAAACAAAATTGTAAAGATTTGAGGATGTGTTAATCTAATAGCATGTTTGCCACCTCAGATTTTCTTGGATTTCTCACTGATAAGAACTGTTTAATATTTGCTCTATACCAGTGTTAAATTTCCAGCCAATTGTTACAACTAAAAATATTGTGGGTGGGGTGTGTTTGTGTGTATGTAAGGTGTTTTTAGTCTTGAGCTAGTTATTTAAGATATGATTTTAGAAATCAGCTGTATGAAAAAATTGTAACTATGAGAGGTAATAGATGTGTTAACCAACCTTATTGTGGTAAGCATTTTGCAATATGTGCATATATAAATCACTATGTTGTACACTTTTAACTTATACAATGTATGTCAATTATTTCTTATTAAAGCTGGAAAAAAGAAATCAACTATATGATTTTAAGAATGTTTTGACTAATCGTATTATAAACAAAGAAGATATTTATGTTAATCAATATAAATAGTATATAATTAATATGTTGTTACATTGTTCTAAGCAGTTTATCTGTATTAACTTATTTAAAACTTTTAACAACCTTACGAGGTTTACAACAATTTTGCTCTGTATCCCCATCCTGTCAGCTGCCATCTACATGCCCAGATTGTAGGGGCCTAGGCCCTCCTACTAGCCCTCTTCCAAGATAGATTTTTGCTTTTTTGTTTTGGAGGGACAGGTAATATAAACACATATGTTCAATCAAAAATCACATATAAAACTCAAAGGTATAAAATAGTATAAAGTGAAAAGTAAGTCTCCCTCTCAGTCCTGTCCCTCGTCCACTGAATTCCCTTCAACAGAGGTAAGCATTGTTGGCAGTTTTTTGTATGTCCATCCAAAATAAGACATAAGAGAGAGAATAAGATTAATTGTAAGCTACTGAAATCTAGTTAAACTATTTCAAGAAAAATATATATGATTAATCAGCCTTTTCAAATTGTAACTATATGGTATACCATTTGAATTTCCTTTTCATAAATGTTTAACTGTATGCTTTAATTTGCTCAAAGATAATTATTAAATGTCCTAATAAAAATTTTTTGCTTATTCACATAAGAATGTCATTAATAAATGCTCATAATTGTCACATTATAATGAGATCATTATAACTTGCAAACAACTTCATAAATGACAGCTAGAGGAGGGTCAAAGACTAGTCTAAAGTGAAGGCACAGTGTGGTTGTGAGTCATATGTCTATAAAGCTGTGGTCTTGGGTTTTGGTCTTTGCTATTTTCCGCATACTATCAGAATTCAGGATTCAGCACCATTAAGTAGTTCTCTGAAAAGATACTCCCTTTATAGCCAAAAATAAATTGGATTTTGGAGCATTGCTAGGTTTTGTGTATGTAAAATTTCTTATTAATGTCAACTGTATAATAGTGTATAAAATTGCATACCCCCTCAATCATGTACCATAACACTTGTACTCATAAGGCAGTAGCGACTTAAATTTTGATTTGATGGTCTGAATATTTGAAATGTTTCCTTTATTTTATTATCCTCAGACCTTAACAGCAGGTTGGGATGAACTCGAGTGCCATCGTGTTTATAACTTCTTATGCGAGCTGACTAACCTCCCCCGCAAGATGCAGTCTGTTGTTTGTGGCAAGCCAGGTAAAGAAATACAATTCACAGAGAATTTTATACAGAGATTAAAATAGGCAGGGGAGAAAAGTAGAATTCGAAAGTATATTTAAAAATAAATTGTGGCATCCATGTGTAGTAAAAGGACAAAGAAATGTAAGGGAATGATAAACACTGAATTAGATAGGCAAATGTGGCATGTGATTGGAGAAAGAGAAGTACTCAGAGGGCTTCAATTATATTAATAATATTCCTTAAGCTGTGGGGAGGATACAAAGGTGCTCCTTATAGTATTCTCTAAACCTTTAAATATATATACCTGAAATGTCTCATATTTTAAAAATTAAGGAGCCCTATAGTATAGCCATTGCTCTCTAAGAAACTCACAGTGTGCACAAGGAGACATGTAAGTGTGAACATTATAGCATGTAACCACAAAAAGTGGCAAATAACCTAAATGCCTGTTGTCAGGAGAATGGATAAATGAATTGAATATCCTTATAAATTAAAGCCATTAGTATTTAAAATGAATGAACTAGAGTCATGTGTATTAATGTGGATAAATCTCAAAACATAACTTGAGAAAAAGGTTACCATAGGATATTTTCTTTTTCTTTTTTTTTTTTGCATGTCTGGTAGCATTTATTGTGCAACAAGCCCATGTGACAGATGCTGTCCCACTTCTAAATTGCCTCTCATTTCTTATGACTAAACTTCCTGAAAAGCTCCTGATGAAGCAGCACACACTGGACTGCTCCTATGTGTTGGCTAGAGCCACAGGAGGTTCACAAGAGAACTAGGAGAAGTGGCTGTTAATAATAGCTGCACTTTTGTGCAACTTGCTTGTGTGTCAGACACTGTACTGAGGGCTTTATGTAGATCATGGCAATTAATCTTTGCAACAACTGTGGTTATCCCCATTTCCCAGATAGAGAAACTGAAGGGTTGCCTAACTTGCCCTAAGTCACCACAGGTAATAACTTCACAGCTGAACCTGGCAGTCTGACTCCAATGAGTAAGCTCTTTTTCATGCCACTTTCTTGCTCCTGAGATGTACCACAGAGTATTATCAATATGGTAACATTTATATAAACATTTAAAACATGCAAAATAATTATATATATTCTTTATGGTTACATACATATATAAAAAAGTATAAGAACATAGTTGGAAGGTATGATAGTTAATTGTGAGTATCAACTTAGCTAGGCCATGTTACCCAGATATTTGGTCAAATGTTATTCTGTTTCTTTGAAGTTATTTCTTAGGTGAGATTAATATTTAAATCAGTAGACTTTGAGTAAAGCAGATTACCCTCCATAATGTGGGTGGGCCTCATCCAATCACTTGAAGACCTTAATAGCAAAAGACTGACTTCTCCAAGAAAAAAAGAATTCTGCCAGCAGACTGTCTTTGGACTTGAACCACAACTCTCCCCTGGCCTCCAACCCACTGGCCTACCCAGCATATTTTGGACTTGCCAAGTCTTCACAATTATGTGAGCCAATTCTTCAGAATAAATCCTTCCATATATATGTATATCTATACATATATACTGTTCATTCTGTTTCTCTTGAGAACCCTAATACAGGATAATATTTGGGTCAGAACCTAAATTCAAGATGGTGAGTACCTCTAAGAAGGAAGGAGAAAGGGATTGGGAATGATATACAAGAAGCTTTAGCTGTACTGTAATGTTTTATTTATTTTAAAAAATATGAAGCAAATACAGCAAAAATAAAGCTTTGACAAAGCTAGGTGATTGGTACACAGTATTTGTTATAACATCTCTGCTTTTCTGTCAGCTTGAAATATTTCATTATAAAACAAATTATGGATCAAGAAGGTAGATTTAGAATTCCAGTGAAACAATAACAAAATTAATTTATTATATCCCTTCCTTGATGGATAACTTTTATTAGCTCCCTGATGTCTTCAAAATAAATTCTGAACTATTTATACTGGCTTTCACATTCTAATCCCAACCTACTTTTCCAAACTTATTGCCCACTACTCTCTGTATCAGTTGGATATAGTTAGGCATTTTGCTCTCTCACTGTGCCTCAGACACCTCTTACACATTTCTACCTCATATCTTTCATTCATTCCCTCTTTTTTCTGAAATACCATTGCTCCTCCTTCTCATCCTTTAAGACCCATTTTTCCTGATCTCCTCTGTAAAGCCTTTCCTGATCTCCCCAGGCCTGCAATAATGTCTTTCTAAAATTCTGTGTCACCTGGCTTAACGTATCAGGGTACTTACTTACATATGGCCTTAGATCATTGGTAGACTTTCCATTTACACTGGTCTTATCTACCAGTAAATAAAACATAAATGGTATAAAAATGTAAAAATAGTATTGCCACTAAGTTTGGCCATTCCTCGAAAATTATCATACGACTGAGCATTCCAATCCTAAGTATATACCTAAAGGAACTGAGATCAGGGACTTGGACAGATATCTCTACACCAGTGTTCACTACAGCATTATTTGCAATAGGCAAAAAGTGGAAACACCCAAGTGTCCATTAATGATGAATGGATAAACAAAAGTGGTATATATATATATACAATAGAATATTAGCCATAAAAAGGAACAAAGTTTTCATACATGCTACATCATGGATGAACGTTGAAAACATTAAGCTAGTGAAATAAGTCAGACATATAAGGACAAATACTGATTTCATGATTCCACTTATATGAAGTACTTTGAAAAGGCAAACTCATAAAAACAAAGCGGATGAGAGCGAGAAGGGCAAATGTGGGGGTCATTACAGAGTTTCTATTTGAGGTGATGAGGAGCTTTGGAAATAAACAGTGATGATGGTTGGACAATGTGAATATAATTGATGCTGTTGTATTGTACATTTTTAAAATGGTTAAAATGGCAAATTTTATGTTATATAATTTATAAATATAAATATATATTTTACAATTTTCAGAAGTTAATAATGTAATATAAATATAAAGTTAATAATGTAATTTAATTATGTACTTTAAATGAGTGAAGTATATGGTATATAAATTACATGTATTTCAATTAATCTGTTTAAAGAAAAAACACAAGATACTGCTTCATACCCACTAGGATGGCTGGCTAGAATCAAAAAGTTAGATAACAACAATTCTTGGTGATAATATAGAGAAATTAAAACTCTCATACATTGCTTGTAGGAATGTGAAATGGAACAGCCACTTTGGAAAGTAGTTCTGGCAGTTCTTCAAATGATTAAACATATGACCCAGAAATTCTACTCCTAGATATATTCCCAAGAGAGTGAAAACATATGTCACACAGAAACTGGTACATGAATGTTAGTTGCAGCATTATTTATAATAGCCAAAAGATGAAAACAACACAAATGTCCATCCATAAGTGAATAAACAAAATGTGTATATCTGTACAATGGAATATTATTTGGTCATAAAAATGAAGGAAGTACTAATGCATGCCATGACATGGATGAACCTTGAAAACATTATGCTAAGTGAAAGAAGCCAGTCATGAAAGACCACAGACTGTATGATTTCATTCATATGAAAGTCTAGAATGAGGAAATTTAGAGATGGAAGATTGATTAATGGTTGCTTAGGGCTGGGGGGTCATAAAGGATGGAGAGATAGAAGAGTAATGACTAAAAGAACAGGGTTTCTTTTTGAGGTGATGAAAACATTATAAAATAAACTTGATGCTACATGTACATATCTGTAAATATACTAGAAACCTTTGAATTATATGATGTGTAAATTATATCTCAAGCTGTTTAAAAAAATAGTCCCTTGATAATCTAAGACTTGTACAGAGGAAAATATAGTAATGCTTTTAGTATAAAGCATATTGATGATGTCCGTCTTTGACCTATCCCATATATACAACAACCTTTCTAGGAAGAATCATTTAACATTCTTTTGTCTTCATAGGAAGTGCCCCAAAACTGGAATTAAGGATCAGACTTTTCTGTAGGAAAGTCCTGCTTGATCATTGGACACATCGAAGTGATTCTGCTTTTTGGTTGACGCGTATATTAAAACCATGGCCAATGGTGAATCAGGCAAGATTATTGTATATAATTTTTGGACCAATATCTCCTCAAAATGGTGAGCATCTATCTTTTAGGGATATATGTTACAACACTGGTTAATTAGTTTTACTTTAGGAAGTATCTTTTTGTACTTGCTCAGTTTCATCATTCCTAATGACTAAAATGAGTTTTGTGATTTATACTACATTAACTTGTACGTAACGTAAACTTCCAGCCAGTAATTATTCCAAATCCTGCAGGCCATTACCAAATATAGTCCAGTCATGTCTAGTTTACCTAAAGTAGCTGCTTTTCATTTTTAAGTATTATCTTAGCTCAAGGTTATGTTTGCTGCTGCAGGGGATTAATAGTGCCAATGAAGGAAGTAGTAGTTGGAATCGATGTTTTATTTCCTTCTGGGTGTGTATGATTTTTGCAATTTTTTGCCTCTCTAAGTTCTATTTAGATTAATGTTAAAACTAGCATGGAGTTCTTTAGTTCACATTATTGCCTCATGTCAGGAGGTAAACAGTTTAAAGTAGGTTGAATAGCAGCAGGACATCAATCTGGGATTAAATTTTGTTCTGTGTAATTCACGAAGAGGATTGGCTATAGGTACATAATCTAGAATTGACTGGATTACTCTGTTTTGATATAAATGTTCGGAAGATACTCAAATATAGCATGCTTTCTCTTTGGAAAGATATCAATAGATTTAACTTTATTTTATTTTAGTAAGGTCATATCAATTGTTCATACCAATTTCTGTTATAGGGGTAGCATTATCTTTGAACTAGAGGCATTATTCTGCTTGGTGAAACTACCGTTTTTCCCTTCCTTTAGCTATTGTTTCTGTGCTTCATCACATCAGTCAGAGACATTCAGATTTATACTGTTATCAGAATTAATCTTTCCTTATGAAAATAGCATATATAAATAATGGGATTCCATTATGCTATCCAATTTCTTTTTGAAAAAGCTCATGAAGTCTATCACAAAGACAACTATTCTGTAATAGCCTAGTTTTTGTTTCAATTATCATTCAGGACAGGTGGTTTGGCAGAAAATGATAGAAGAAGCTACAGATGAATCCAGTCTGAAGGGTTTAGCTGATGCCATTAAATTACTATATGACACGGGCACCAAAGAGTGGACAGCAGATGATGTTATCAGTCTGGTAGATGAACTGTCAGGTAAAAGTATATATTTACCACACAGAGTGACAGAAATGTTTTATTAGAATACAGTTATAACATTGTAAGGGTAATTCTACAGGTAACAAATGGATTATCTATTAGAAATCACTAAATGCTCTAAAATATTTAAGATTTGGCATTATGTTTGAAGAAAATACATGTAATTAACTTTCCTCCAATTGCCAATTTATACATATATATGCTTATTACTATTATTCTTTGAAAGCATAATTTAATTAGCTCAATTAGTCCCATTTTGCAAGTTCTCAGAAATACTTCCTAAGCCGTCAGAAGAAAGCCCCTCCTATTGGTACAGGAAAGATGAAACAATTTTTCCCATTTGTGCATAATCCTTTAGATTTTAAAGTTTACAGGAGTTTTTTCCTTACACAGGATTAGACCACCTTGCCTGTTGATCTGTGCTTAGGAGAAATTCTTTGACTATATTACTAGTACATTTGTAAGAACCATCATAACTTGGCAATTATCTCTGTCTCTAGTGAATGCTTTAAATGAAAAACTAAGGCATTTTTCTTAGCTTTTCCCTTGGCACTACTTGTATTTCCAATAAGGTGATAAAATATTGCTTGTATTTAATGATGTTTATTATAGCTATTATGCAATTTCTCATTAAATAACTGTTATTCCTCTAATAAAAGTGGTTCCCCATGAGTGGCTTCTAGAGAATAATGCACATCTCCTAATCCTAAGTGGGAACAACATCTGTTTCACTTTCATGGCCAGTAAAGCTGTGAATGGACGGGCCACTGAACTGGCAAGGCTGATAGTCTATTTTGCTTTGGTAAGTAAAAATAATCAGTTTTTCTCTAGCAAGTTGTTTAACATTATAATTGACCTACCAGGGAGCCACCCTTAAGGAACTGCAATATGTACCACACATCTTGAAAGAGTAACTATCTAAGTATGTGTTTTTATATATACTTTTCAAAGTATATATAAAAGCATGTATATTTATATTTTCATATATGCTTTAAATTTTTTCAAATTTATATAATAAACTACCATATTTGAAAGCATTCCTTTTATTAACTTCTCCCCACTTCATGTCTAGATTGTTGTTATACAGTTCTGGCAAGTTGTGTTCTTTTTTTTAAAATTTCATTTAAGACAAGCACTCCTTATGATTTGCTTCAGAATAGTCAGTGGGCAGCATGGAGAGGATGTGATGACAGAGATAAAATTAGATTGGTAACTGTTGAAGCTGAGGAATGGGTACTAGGTGTTCATTATACTATTATCTCTACTTTTATACAGTTAAAATGTTTTTCAAAATGAAACATTTAAAGATATATTTAATATTATCTCATTTAATATAAATTGAGTGTTTTACTATGGGCCATACACTGTGTGAGATCCTAAGATTATGGCAATCAGTAGAACAAATCTCTGACCAAAACTTCTTACAGTCTTTCTAAGGATACCAAGATATATATAAATTAGTGTGATAAGTGCAAAAATGTATGTAAAAAAGATACAAACAGAGGTAGCATAGAGGAGCCAATATTGGATGAGTGTAAAGCAGAAAGGGCTTCCCCTATCCCAGTAGAAATAGGTTTTTTTAAATGAATGGAAGTTCACCATGCAGATAGAGGGAGGAAATTATTCAAGCAAATACCTGCATATATTACATAGAAATCTCATTTATTTGGCTCCCTTCACAGATGCCACCCCAACCAGCACCTCAAAAGCAATGAAATATCTTCATGTAATTGTAGATTAATGATATTAAAATGAATTTTAAAAAATAAAAATAAAAAAAGCAATGAAGTAATCTTCCAGTTGGCTATTGTAAGGAGCAATTGAATGTAATCCATTTCCTGTGAAATGAAGTAGGATTTTTACTAATTCAACTGCTTAAAACATGAAGGAAAACTCTGTGGCTCTTTTAAAAATGTGAAAATATGAAGAAAGCTACTCAATTAACTGTGTTCTTAATATAAATATTTAGTGTCATAATTAAGCAGATTCCCTAAAAAAAAAAAAAGAAAAATGGAACTGCAGGGCTATATTCACAGGACTGTAAGTAGCTCCACATTTTTTCTGAAGAATAAAATTGTAGAACAGGAGGAGGAAGTGGGATTAGATAGGAAAGGAGAGGCTGGCGAAGAAGGCCTTGTCAACCATACTGTGGAGTTTGAGCATATCCTTTAACAGGGATACATTGAAAACTGTTAGGAAGGGAAAGACTTCTTTTTATCAGTTTTATATTACTGGAAGGTCACTTTGGCAGCACTCTAGCACACATAAGGAGAGGAAGTCATGTGGGGTGGAGAAGCCTTCTCTAGAAAACTCTGATTAACATCTCATTTCTGATTATTAATTTTCTCTAAATGGCCTCAGATTTGTCTTTATCTTCATTTATTAATGGGGTTCTTAAGCCTTTGTATGTGTGAGGTAAGTCATCTCCCAAAATAGACTGCAAGCTCTGTGAAGTCCAGGACTATGTTGCTTGTTACTTTTTTTTTTTAAGTCTTTATTTTTATTTTTATTTTTTTTGGTATCTTTAATATACACTTACAGGAACAACACTGTGGTTACTAGATTCCCCCCATTATCAAGTCCCCACCCCATACTCTACATTATAGTCACTGTCCATCAGCATAGTAAGATGCTATAGAATCACTACTTGTCTTCTCTGTACTATACTTCCTTCCCTGTGCCCCCACACACATTATATGTACTAATCATAATACCCCTTATTGCCCTTATTCCCCCCTTCCAACCCATCCTCCCCAGTCCCTTTCCATTTAGTAACTGTTAGTCCATTCTTGGGTTCTGTGAGTCTGCTCCTATTTTGTTCCTTCAGTTTTTTCTTTGTTCTTATACTCCACAGATGAGTGAAATCATTTGATACTTGCCTTTCTCTGCCTGGCTTATTTCACTGAGCATAATACCCTCTAGCTCCATTCATGTTGTTGCACATGGTATGATTTGTTTTCTTATGGCTGAATAATATCCCATTGTGTATATGTACCACATCTTCTTTATCCATTCATCTACTGATGAACACTTAGGTTGCTTCCATATCTTGGCTATTCTAAGTAGTGCTGCAATAAACATAGGGGTGCATATGTATTTTTCAAACTGGATTCCTGCCTTCTTAGGGTAAATTCCTAGCAGTGGAATTCCTGGGTCAAATGGTATTTCTATTTTGAGCTTTTTGAGGAACCTCCATACTGCTTTCCACAAAAGTTGAACTAATTTACATTCCCACCAGCAGTGTAGGAGGGTTCCGCTTTCTCCACATCCTTGCCAACATTTGTTGTTGTTTGTCTTTTGGATAATGCAAGGTGATATCTCATTGTGGGTTTAATTTGCATTTCTCTGGTAATTAGTGATGTAGATCATCTTTTCATGTGTCTATTGGCCATCTGAATTTCTTCTTTGGAGAAGTATCCTCTGCCCATTTTTTAATTGGGTTATTTGCTTTAGCTCTTTGTATATTTTGGATGTCAACCCCTTATTGGATATGTCATTTATGAATATATTCTCCCATACTGTAGGATGCCTTTTTGTTCTTGATGGTGTCCTTTGCTGTACAGAAGCTTTTTAGTTTGATATAGTCCCACTTGTTCATTTTTGCTTTTGTTCCCTTGCCTGAGGAGATATGTTCATGAAGAAGTTGTTCATGTTTATATTCAAGAGAGTTTTGCCTATATTTTCTTTTAAGAGTTTTATGGTTTAATGACTTACATTTAGTTCTTTGATACAGTTCACGTTTACTTTTGTGTATGGGGTTAGACAGTGATCCAGTTTCATTCTCTTACATGTAGCTGTCCAGTTTTGCCAACACCACCTGTTGAAGAGGCTGTCATTTCTGCATTGTATATCGATGGCTCCTTTATTGCATATTAATTGACCATATATGTTTGGGTTAATATCTGGACTCTATTCTGTTCCACTGGTCTATGGGTCTGTTCTTGTGCCAGTACCAAATTGTCTTGATTACTGTGGCTTTGTAGTAGAGCTTGAAGTTGGGAAGCAAGATCCCCCGTGCTTTATTCTTCCTTCTCAGGATTGCTTTGGCTATTCAGGGTCTTTTGTGGTTCCATATGAATTTTAGAACTATTTGTTCTAGTTTATTGAAGAATGCTGCTTGTTACTTTTATAATGCCCAGTATAGTGCCTCACACATAATAAGTTGTCAATAAATCTTCCCTGTCAGGTTAACATTACTTAGTTACACTACTATCTACTATGTAGTTTTATTTTCATGCTATATATTACTTGGCTATGTGAGTTAAATTGTTCATTTAGAATGTTAGTAAATGAACCATTTTCTTTTCAGTCAGTTATAACTGTTAACATATAGTCTTTATTTTAAATATTTATCTTTTAAATAATAGAGAATAAATATTCCCTACAACTCTGAAGTTGTACCTGTCACCCTCCTTGGGCCTCTTGAAAATAGAGGCCTAGTCTTTATGGATTACCATTGTAACTCCAGCTCTTAGCATGTGCTCAGTATATATTTATTGAATAGATGAGTGGAAGTCTTATTTTTCCTGTTTAATAATTGTTTTCAGTATTAGTTCCTACATTAATATGTGATGGTATTCTTGGACCAGGCCTTTATTTATAATTCTTCCCGCTAATATTATTGTACCATTTGAAAGCAAAGGACTATTAGGTATAAGAACATTCCTCACTTATAGGCTGAATATGATGTCATGTGTAATAAATTATATAAAATCATAAACCACCATTGTTAATACTATTTTCAAATTCTACAGCTTTCTTCATGTGAATATTTACCATAATGCTTTGTGTGTCTAAATTAGGTATGTGAGAAAGAACTATACTGTATGGATTGGGCAGTTAAAATGATGCAAAAAGTTTGTAAGGTATTTAGCACTCCAGTGGAAGGAAAGAACTTCCTGCAGAGTGTGGCAAAGACATTTGCATATGTTATACTGGAAATACTACAATCACTTATGTCTGGTGAGTACAAATGTGGATGGGCTGCAGGTGTGAATAAAATGCATTCTAGTCTCCACTTAAGACATATAATTCTGTGTAGACTTATTTATAAGCTAAGAATAGAAGAAGCAGACATTTTCTGTGTGCTTATTTTTCCATGAGATATATTTAGCTCCTCGTTTTGTCACTTTTTAAATCTGGTATGGAGGTTTTAGTGGAAAGCAAAGTTGAAGAGTCTGCACTAAAAGGAACCAATTTCGATTTTGCACAGCAAAATCTTTCTTCTTTAAGGTATCATTGATATACATTCTGATGAAGGTTTCACAAGAAAAACACTGTGGTTGCTACATTCACCCATATTACCGAGTCCTCCCCCACACCCCATTGCAGTCACTGTCCATCAGTGTAGTAAGATGCCACAGAGTCACTACTTGTCTTCTCTGTGCTATACTGTTTTCCCCATGACCCCCGACACACTATGTATACTAATCATAACCCATCAATCCCCTTCTTCCTCCCACCCGACCCACCCCGACCCACCCCTCCTCTGTGGTAACCGCTAGTCCCTTCATCAAGTCTGTGAGTCTGCTTCTATTTTGCTTTGTTGTTATACTCCACAAATGAGGGAAATCATTTGGTATTTGTCTTTCTCTGCCTGACTTATTTCACTGAGCATAATACTTTCTAGTTCCAACCATGTTGTTGCAAATGATAGGATTTCTTTCTTTCTTATGGCTGAATAGTATTCCATTTTGTATATGTACCACTTCTTCATCCATTCATCTACAGATGGGCACTTAAGTTGCTTCCATATCTTGGCTATTGTAAATAGTGCTGTGATAAACTTGGTTTTTTTTCTAATTTTATTTTTTATTTTTATTTTCTTGGGTATCATTAATGTACAATTACATGAGCAACATTATGGTTACTAGACTGCCCCATTATCAAGTCCCCACCCCATACCCCTTTACAGTCACTGTCCATCAGCATAGTAAGATGCTATAGAATCACTACTTGTCTTCTCTGTGTTATACTGCCTTCCCCATGCCCCCCGACTACAATATGTGTGCTAATCGTAATGCCCGTTTTTCCCCCATATCCCTCCCTTCCCACCCATCCTTCTCAGTCCCTACCCTTTGGTAACTGTTAGTCCATTCTTGGGTTCTGTGAGTCTGCTCCTGTTTTGTCCCTTCAGTTTTTTTCTTTGTTCTTATACTCCACAGGTGAGTGAAATCATTTGATACTTGTCTTTCTCCACCTGGCTTATTTCACTGTGCATAATACCCTCTAGCTCCATCCATGTTGTTGCAAATGGTAGGATTTGTTTTCTTCTTATGGCTGAATAATATCCCATTGTGTGTATGTACCACATCTTCTTTATCCATTCATCTACTGATGAACACTTAGGTTGCTTTCATGTCTTGGCTATTGTAAATAATGCTGCAATAAACATAGGGGTGCATATGTCTTTTTCAAACTGGGCTGCTGCATTCTAAGGGTAAATTCCTAGGAGTGGAATTCCTGGGTCAAACGGTATTTCTATTTTGAGTTTTTTGAGGAACCTCCGTACTGCTTTCCAGAATGGTTGAACTAATTCACACTCCCACCAGCAGTGTAGGAGGGTTCCCCTTTCTCCATTTCCTCACTAACATTTGTTCTTGTTTGTCTTTTGGATAATGGCCATCTTAACTGGTGTGAGGTGATATCTCATTGTGGTTTTAATTTGTATTTCTCTAATTATTAGTGATGTGGAGCATCTTTTCATATGCCTGTTGGCCATCTGAATTTCTTCTTTGGAGAAGTGTCTGTTCAGATCCTCAGCCCATTTTTTAATTGGATTATTTGCTCTTTGTTTGTTGAAAGGTTGAAAGCAACCTTTATATATTATGAATGTCAACCCCTTATTGGATATGTCACTTATGAATATATTCTCCCATACTGTAGGATGTCTTTTTGTTCTACTGATGGTGTCCTTCACTGTACAGAAGCTTTTCAGCTTGATACAGTCCCACTTGTTCATTTTTGCTTTTGTTTCCCTTGCCCATGGAAATAAGTTCATGAAGAAGTTGTTCATGTTTATATTCAAGAGAGTTTTGCCTATGTTCTCTTCTAAGAGTTTATGGTTTCATGATTTACATTCAGGTCTTTGATCCATTTCGAATTTACTTTTGTGTGTGGAGTTAGACAGTAATCCAGTTTCATTCTCTTACATGTAGCTGTCCAGTTTTGCCAACACTAGCTGTTGAAGAGGCTGTCACTTCCCCATTGTATATCCATGGCTCCTTTATCGTATATTAATTGACCATATATGCTTGAGTTAATATCTGGACTCTCTATGATTTTTATTTTGAACTCTCTTTCAGGAAGATCGGTGAGTTCAGTTTCATTTGTCTCTTTTTCTGGTGTTCGTGAGATTTTTGTTTGAACCAGGTTCCTTTGCTGTTTCATATTTATATGTGTCGCACTCTAGTGCCCAGAAGCTCTAGTCTCTGGATCTGCTCAGCCCCTGCAGTGATGTTGGGTCACAGTGGAGCGTTGCTGGTGCCTGCCGGGAGGAAAGAGGTGTTTCCTGCTTCCTGGCTGCAGTGCCTGTCTCCACTGTCAGAACCAGTGGGCCGGCACACAGGTGTAAGCTTCTGTGCTTTGTGTCTCTAGCTGCCATAGGCAGGGCCTCCCTCTGGCTGGCCTGACACCAGGACAAGGACTGCCAATTTGAGAGCTGGTGCCAGCAGGCCGGGAGGAAGGCGTGTCACAGTGGGGTTCCTCAGAGCTGAGTAGCCAGCCAGGGGCATGGAGTGCCTGAAGCTCCTGAAAGTTGCCAACCTGCTGGGCAGAGACAGCCTTATCCACCTACCCCTTCTATGGCATAGCAGGCTCCGTGAAAACCCTGCTCCTTCAGCAGCCCTCTTGCTGCTAGGAAGCCTCTCAGACCGCCCACCTTTCCTTTGTCCCACAGTGGCTGCATGTGGATCCCCGTCCTCCACAAACAGCTGGAATCTCAGTATCTCCAAGTATTCCACCTGTCTTAGCTTTCCAACCCCTGTTCTGTAGATGTCTGTTGATCCATCTGTTCTAATGTGTTGTTCAGTGCCTCTGTGTCCTTACTTATTTTCTGTCTGGTTGATCTGTCCTTTGGAGTGAGTGGTGTGTTGAAGTCTCCTAAAATGAATGCATTGCATTCTATTTCCTCTAATTCTGTTAGTATTTGTTTCACATCTGTAGGTGCTCCTGTGTTGGGTGCATAGATATTTATAATGGTTATGCTCTCTTGTTGGACTGACCCCTTTATCATTATGTAATGTCCTTCTTTGTCTCTTGTTCCTTTCTTATTTTGAAGTCTATCTTGCCTGATACAAGAACTGTAACTCCTGCTTTTTTCTTCCTATTAGTTGCATGAAATATCTTCTTCCATCCCTTCACTTTTAGTCTGTGTCTGTCTGGGTTGCACAGCAAAAACTTTTAACTTGTTTACTTATCAAATATCATAATCATCATAACAATATCCTATATTTGCATAGTTTCAACATATATCACTTTACAGTTGTGTTAGGTAGCCAACATGATAATTAACCCCATTTTACAGATGAGAAAACTAAAGCTTAGAGAAATTACCTGACGTATCCAAAGTCATAAAGTTAGGAGCAGAGAACCTGAACCAGCATCCTTCCTCTGACTTCTAATCAGTGCTCTTATATAATCCCATGATTTCAATAGTTAATGTCTGACTTATACTAGTTAGTGTGAAGGACACTTAACTGGTCTTCTGTTACATATTATTAAGGAAAACTGGAACATCTTATGTTTCAAATAAATCATGTATTTAAAAACTTAATTGTCATTTTCTTTTTCCTACTGTCCATTCCTATGTATGGCATATAGGAGACCGTGATGAAGACGGCAGAAGCTTTATGAATTTGTTCCATCTTGTGCATGCTCAGGCTAACTTCCATAAGGAGGTCTTGTATTTGGCCATGAATACTGTCTCTACCTAAATGCTCAGAATCTCTTGCATTTAGAGACTACCTCGCTGAACTAACAATTAGAAGAGCGATACTTTTCCACACTCAAAGAATAGCATCATGGGACTTTTTTTCACCTAAGTAATCTAATAATTCAAAAACTGCATAGAATTTTAGAAGCAATTTATTAATATAGAATACAAGCAAACCCAGAATATATTGAGATTTCCCTGGAAAGCAATCTATGCCTCTTTAGATTTTGGTAAACCTAACACCAAACTAAATGGATCATTAGTGTCCAACAGTCAGGACCAGCCAACCTGTGTGGATGGATCTTTGAAGCAAGAGAAAATTCTGTTTAATATTATTAGAGTTAGAGAAGACCCAAACTAAATTGTATGTATCTGTTCACTTTGTTTAAGTTATATAGTAACCTAGAATGTTTGTGAAGATTCCAATATGATGTTTTAGAATGTACAGGTGTAAATGCATTTTTGACCACTTTCTTGGTATATGATTGCAAAGAACGTTGTATTTTGTTCACATTTTGCATGAACTAAAAGATAACCAAAGGAAGAATAATGTGTGGATGTATATACACAGCCATCCATATATATGTCTGTCTATACACACACACATTTCCTTCTTTAACACAAATCATACAAAAAGTCTATAAAGGGAAGATAAATATTGTCTTAATACAATCAAATCATCTTTTATTCTTTCCTGGGGATTAGAGTAAAATGTTGCAAATAAGGGAATATAGAAAATGAAATAAAGTACTTACTCTGCTGCCAGAACAATCTTCACAAATAATTTGCACTTGTTCCTAAAGCTTTTTTCCCTGTCTTAAAGAGTGGAACTTGATGGAAACTGGAAGTGTGGATGGTTAGAGTAGCCCAGAGAGAGTGGGTTTTTCTTCACTCAAGTAAATGGATTCCAAGAAGCTCCAGGACTATTTCAGCCTAACTAGCATCTGCCATCACTACCTTTATTATTAAAGTAGAAAGTAATAATGCCTAATGGGGCTGAATAATGCTGGAGCCCTCCTCCAGCTGGAGCATCTCCCATTTTCTTCTCCTTGGGTTTGATCATTTTACTTCTGAAGACACACCCCTTCCCACTAACTTCTCAGAGGCTGGCTTTTCTGAAGCTCTTGACTTAACTCACCTCTGGAGCTGATGAAGGGAAGAAATACTAGAAGATACAGAGATTACCCACAAAAGTGGATATTAAATATAAATATTATAAATTGTGGAAAATTTTCAAGTGTTTGGCGAGAGGGGCTCAGTAAGAGATTTAATAGAATTTAGGAAGAGTGAATATTGTGGAGAAAATATGAATTGTGATAACAAGATTTTACTATATTTCAATAGCAAAAGCACTTCATTTTTGGAGGGTCAGATATTAACTGCCTCTCTTTGATGGATGTCCAAGTGTAATTCCATGAATGGCAATTATTTTTTCTCCAGAATGTAACATTTGCATATGTATGCAAAACCAAAGTCCTTGCTTTTATTCTGGTTTCATTTTCTTCCTCTCAATTTAAGAATTCACCCACAACTAAATTATAAAAATTAAAAGTTGGGAGATACCAGAGTATAAAATAATGCCTTAATTTTCTTTTTTTTCCCCCTCTCTCACTCTTTTTTCCCATACATGCTTTGGAAAGCCTAATCCATTTATTTATCAAAACTGGTGATTCCAAGTTAATAATATACCCACATTAGATTATTTAGGGAAAAAAGACAAAGGGAAAAGTAAAAACTTTAACTAAATAGTGAATATTTTTAATATTTTCTAAATAGATGTTTCAATTTTCTCAGAGAAATAAGTTTGGTACTGTGACATTGCCTTGAATTCCTTGAACTATCTAAGTCTCCACAGCAGTTATTTTCAGCAAGTTTACAAAAGAAGCATTTAATTAAAAAAAGATTTAATTAAAAACATTTTTGACCTGGCTTTTGAATTTCATTACACACTTGAACTGACATGACTGCTGCTATAAATTTTAGACACATTATAAATTGAGTTAGTTTGGGAATTGCAAAATTATTATCTCAGCTCTCCCCAGAAATTTGGAACATAAAAAATCTGATTCATTCTTTGGGTACAGTAGATAAATTATATCATCTTGCTCCCAATAAAGGGTAAACTGAAAATTTTTTCATTCAATTGTTAATAGATAAAATAACACTTGAGACCAAATTTGCAATTTCCTCAATTCAGCAGTCCAGTATTTTGCTGAATACATTTGTCTTTAGTAATACAGTGTGATATTATCAAATTTTAAAGTGGGAGATTAACTTGCAAAAGCATATATTATGATTAGTGCGATGTTCAGGTGGTGGTACAGACATTGCCACAAAAACAGGAGCATGTGCACAATGGATAGTCTCAAAACTCTACAAGACTGTCCACTTCTAACTATCTAGAACAGTCATAATAACATAATGATGTAAACTACTAACAGGTCAGATAATTCATTCTGCACCTTTTCCTAAGTTAGGATATTGTCCTGGGCTTCTAGCTCTTCTTTCTAGCTCTCATTTCCTCGGTCTTCTTTGATTTTGATTTGTAAGATGATTTTTACTCCTACTAGTAGGCAAGTTCAACAGTATATCACTGTATTTATCTTTACTATTGTTTCTAAACACATGCAGTACACCAGAATAGTACTACTAACAAACTAATGATGCTACTTTTCTTATAAATGATTTTCAAGTATGTATCTTCTAATAAATACTCTCTACCTCATGAAACACTGAACATGTAACCTTAACACTTTTTTGGATAATTTCTTCTCATGCTCTTCTGACCCCTCAACTTTGTCACAACACAGGCAGTAAGTTACTGTACTTGGGAAGCAATTCAGGCTGACAAGAAGTTCAAGAGGTTGCTTATCAGGCTCTTCTCTGTAGTGTGAACAGTAGGCACTTATTTCACACTTTTCCTATCCCTTGATGACTTAGTTCATGCTCCCAGTTCTTCTGTTAATAACAAAGGTTTATTGCCAGGATAATTATTCATCTTTGGAGATTAGAGCAAGTGTGAGGTGCCCAGCAGAGGGTACAACTAGAAGAACCGTTTGTCAATAAAAAGCAAACATTGACCTCTTCATGTGATTATTATCAAAGTCTTTTTAAAGTGAATAGTACTCAATTATATGATTACAGATTTTTATGTCAATAAACACTGTGAAGGGCAAAAACACAAAGCTGCTATAAAAATCTCTTTTGTTAACAGAAACCTTACTAGCAATGTGACTTCTTTACGATTCCATAGCGGGTAGCTGTCAAACCTGTAGGAAATCAGGCTATGGACACATGCTTCTGACCTGAAAGACAGCAGTACAGGACAGTCTTCTGTAGGTAAAAAAGAAAAAAAAAGTGCCAAAGAACTAAGAATACATTTTTTTTCCCATGAAGAAAGCAAATAAAACTCCAGAAATTCCTCAAGTATCTACAGACTTAAAAAATTTAGCCCTTGAAAGGTTTAAAAAAATTTTTTTTAACTAATACTCTAAGATACCTAAGATCACTGGTTTCTTGTAGGTACACAAAACTGAAAAAAATGCATTGTTATTTTTAAAGTATTATATTTATGGTAAAATGTCTTTGATACCTAAATATTTAATATTTGCTAAATTTAAGTTAACTTGTTATTTATTTATATTAATAAAATTAAAATTACAAACATTTCTAACTTGTTCAGTTTGTCATGCAAGTCATTGAATATATAATTTCTTTAAATTATTTCTTGTGGAGGAACTTAGTTATTTAAGCTGTTAATTATAGCTCTACCATGGTCAAAATATGAAATGTCTTAATATAAAATAATGTTGCAATTAGTTATATATTTATGCTTAATATTATAGTATATAAATCAATAATTTTATTTACTCGCAACAACTCATAAATTGAACAGTAATCTGTAAGTAGGATTGTATTCTTTATTATTCTGCTATTTAATCCAGAGACCAAATTCCCAACCTATTAATAAACCAATTGCTGCTGCTAAATAGAAATGTTTCAATTATAGTTAAACATAAGCTTCAAAAAACAAAATACATATTTAAGTATTGTGGATTACCTGTACTTTCCCATAACTAACAAGATCTTAAATGGCTTTCTAAGAACAAAACATTTCTTAAGTATTTCTAAATATATCTGCCTTTACATGTTTGAATTTATAATGCAAGTTGTGTCAGTGACTTTCTATTTCCATCTTTATATATGACTTTATATTTGTTTAAAATAAAGGGAGCAAAACTATTTTCCACTTCAACTATGCTTAAGTGTGTATTAAGGGAAATTCCCATTATTTCTGAGTAATTTAAAATCAAAATGATACTTTAAAGGGATTCTGAAGTATGAGTAATATTACTTTTAAGCCTTTTAAAAGCAAACAAATTTTCTGAAATTTCATAAATCATATCATGCCAAGTTTCAGACTCAAAAAGGTTGGATTTGATTCCACATACCCAGAATAGTGACTCTTAGGTGGTTCTAACTTAGTAAGAATTATCATTCCATTACTTAACTGTTTCCCAAAATATACTATCTTCTCCTGAAATGAAATAACATCACTTTTCCACACAAACCCCTTATTTTTTTTTACCAAGAAAGCAGGTATTAATGTAATCTTAGCATTATGCCACATTTTTTTCAAGTAAGCTACAATTATTTAGAGTTATTTTTACGACATTGATGTGGGTGAAGTACAGCCCTCATTTTATAGGACAGGATTGCCCAATGACACAGATTTGTAAAACTAACAAAACTTTATATTACAGAAATAACTGTTACCAGTGTTTTGTTTTAGGATGCCAAAATACAAATAGTTTAAATGTGGTTTTAAAAAAATGTTATCAAAATGATGAACACAATAATAGAACTCTGTTATAAACTCATATTACAGCATGAAATAGGCACAAAGTAATAAAGTTTCTTCCAAAGTGTAATTATTTTTTAAACAATATTTCACAAGTAACTGAAAATATTGATCTTTCTGTCCATATATTGTATACAATACCACTGGTGTATAACTGAAATTAGCTGATTGTTTTAACTGAATTTGTAAGTCGTTTCAACTTTGTGTGGGTACAGACTGAAGAGCCTTAACCTTATAAAAGACTTCAGAGCCCACTTAGTCAGAGACCATACCATGAAGATCTACGCCACCATAATTAACTGTGTAACTTGGATCCCTCCAAAATACTGACACTTGCCCTAATTACGTTAGGTAAGGTAAGAGCTGCTATGGTGACTTGAAGTAGAAAATTTTAGTTTGAAACACAAAGTTTCACCAAAGAACCAGAGGAAATTTTTAGTGGGAAATGTCATATCAAAGATTCTACAGGTAACTGAAGATCATCCATCAATGTATTAATGTTCAGAGCCCCACTTCTTGCATTAGCATATCAGTCAGATTACCTCTTTTTGTTACATACCAAACAAGTATTGTACTTGTTTAATATTCCCTAAACAGCTTAGGCAAATTATCGGTGATAAATGTTTGGGGTAAATAAACATTGTCATTTTCTCCTCACAATGTGGCTCTTGGTGCCAAGAAGAGTTTTGCGGATGAATTATTATAAAACGTCATTTGGGTAGAGCAGAAACGCACACAACTGGTAAACTATTAAGAGTTTGTTCCATGGGAATTCTGTTCTCAAAGTTGTAGTTGCCAAAGATTATGCATCCTCGAATTACAGAATTTTTAAAATGAGAAAGTCCAACCTTTCACTTGTCAGAATACATTGAAACCCTGTAAGTTAAATGACTTATTTAAGGTCACATAATTTGTTGCCAGGACAAAGCTCCAGAACTGGTTTTTCCTTGGCCAAAATTTTAAAGTGCAAGTTTTCCATTTTAATTGTGACATATGTTATACTGCCTCAATTTTATTTCCTTTTAAAGCATGGAATTTGAACACAATGTTAAGAATAAAAGCTATTAAAGTTAATCTTACTCCTTGTTTATTTTTAAACTAGAAAGGAAAAGCAAAAGTAGAAATTATGATGGACTTTTCAGGAATAGATACCACAGATTTGGAGCTCTACTCTACTCTTCTCTGGACCCCAAAATAAGGTGGTTTCTTCAAACCTAATTGGACAGAGAAATACATAGAAGGGCTTTTTTCCAGAAAAGGAATATTCAACAATGTAAAAAATATTTAGTTTGGGTAAGAGAGATTTTTTTCCTGAATAAACAAGTAAGGTAAATATAGCCATCTCATTTCAATGATTTTTAATTCAGCCAGGCACAAAGAATGAGGACTATCTAACCATTTTCCTAAAAGAGAAGCTGGGCAAAAGTGGAAGGAATAGAAGAGATAACAATAAATCTTAAACACTCAAATGACAAGTTCCTTCTGGCCAGAGAGTGAGACGAGGGAAACCACACAGCCCCAGACTAGGCAATCTATAAAGACTGATGAGTGACTACTATGCAGATGAAGATACACAATGTGCTCCTGAACTCGGAAACATCTGCCTGTGACAGGAAAAGGAAAGAACATATTTAAGCATAATATGCAGTTGCATTTACACCTAAGGAAAGGCCATCAAAGTGAATATTTGAGTAGTTCTCCATGGTAACTAATGAATCTACATTTCAGTGCAGTGTTTTTAACACCCTCTACCTACAGTTCAAACACACAGCATCTGCCAGCCATACCCGTGAATTCCTGATGTCCCAGCTGAGTGCCTTTGCCTCTGAGCTCACAAAACCCCTTGCTTGACAGAGGTTAACCATTTCCGGAAGGCTCTGGAAGAGGTCTGCTGGGCAGCAGGACTGCTGCTGTTGATAAGAAGCCTCTCCTTGGGCTGGAGACCAGGAGCTGTGGGAAACCCAAAAACAAGGCTCAGATGGGATCAGCGGCAAAGGCCTCAGCTCCGAGTATTGCTCATGCACTAACAGAAGAATTAGGAGTTCCTCCCTCCCCTCTACCAGCCCCATAACTGGGAAAGACTGGACATACCCAAAACCCCACTCCCAAGTGAATTTCATGTCCTATGTCAACCTCTAGGAGGATGAGTTGCTAATTAATGCATGTATGCAAGCATAATTGTAAGCCACTCTGCTGACACAGACGGATGTGTTTCACCTTATTATTAGGAGAAAGTGGACAACTTGGGAGTTTGAGCACCTAACTGGAAGAAAAAAACTAGGAGATAATTGTCCCTCCACCATGCACACCACTTCTAACCTATTCTACCTAAAAATCCTACACAATCTGGGTTTTATTTTTCATTTTAAAAATCGTTAGTTTAGATTAGGTTTCAAAGAAGCTGGTATTTCTTATTCTCAGAGTGATCTGAGAAATGCTACATCATTGCATCTAAGAATAGGAAAACAAGGTCTCTTTTAATTTGTTTTTGAATCAATACCAGAAATAATGACGAGAAGCAAAAATCCACCGGTGTGTCAGCAAAGCAGGATGCTCGGCTGGTCAGGTTCATCCTTCCCCCATGAGCTGTTCTGCGGGCTCGCCGCCGCAGCTGCAGGCCACTAGAGCAGATAGATAACGTAAGACAGAATGACCAGGCCTATGATGGCAAAGAACATCAGGAGGAAAATATCCAGCATTATGGAATCCTTGGCCGAGGAGACCTCTGGATTCCGGGGAAATGTGAGCTGTGAGCACAGACGCCGTAGTCGGTGGAGAGAAATGGCTCCCTCCTCCCTCCAAGGCTCATTCTCTTCCCCTCCCCCTCCCGCTCCCAGGGCCGGCCTGCGGATGCTCCGGCTTCCCCAGCAGCTCGCTTCCCTCCCCCGTGCTTCCCCTTCCCACAGCCAACCAATCAGAGCCCGCAAGTGGGTAACCAAGGAACTGCTCCATTTAGACCAGGCAGAACTGAAGAGGCTCAGTTTCTCCCCAGGAACCCAATCCCACCCCTTTGTACCCATTCGAGCCTGCGTGATACGGACTTAGGAGGCGATCCGATCTCTCTGCCCAGGTCCCCTAGGAAGGAATCCTCCCACCTGCCTTTCTTCCTCCTCCTTCTTCTTACACATCCCTGACATACTATCTCAAAAAGAATGGCTGGGAGTTGGGTGGGCCATCGGCAAGTTACAAAGGTCATGCTATGGAGGGAAACCGACAAAGGTCTCATGTGAGTCTCAGTTGGCATCTCTGGGGTTGGAACTTATGGGATTCCTGTATCGTGCCAGACATTGCACACATGGTGTGACTTCAGTCTCCCTGCAAGTCTTTACTAGAGGCTCAGAGATAGTCAGGAACTTACCTGATGTTGCACCAGAAACAGCAGAGACCAAGATTCAAAACAAGTGCTCCAGAGGCCATATTCTTCTTTCACCCCAGATGGCCCACCCTGCTAGTCTGAAATGCCCCTCAGCCCTCCCTGTGCTGCACAGTTAGCTGTGCGTTTGTGCAGGTCACTCCATTCACAGTGTGAGCAACCAGGTCTCTCCTCTAACCATTCCTTGTCCCTTTGACATCACCCACATTCCTGGTTGCTTCCGTATCCTCTTCTAAAAGCTCCACGTGTTGTTGGTGTTAGACCCAGAAAGGGCACTAACGGACTCTCAGTGAGCCACATCCCTGTGCACTAAGAGTATCTAGAAATACAAATTCAAGTGGCTGCTTCTGAAGGGAAAGGAATTTCACTTTTTAAAGCTGGGTGTTGATACTCGGTTATGTCTTGTGTTGTTTTTATGTCTTAATTGTTCCCTATTAAATTAAAAACAAAGAAACCTCCCTGTGACATCTCTGAGGCCTAGCGTCCTTGGCTCCACTCCAAATAGTACCTTTGAAGGGCCTGGGGACAAGGGCATTAGTAACCCCCGTCCTGACGCTAGCCTGAGAACCTAGGCCACTTGCTGAAGAGGGCCCAGGAACTCCTCCCACTGGCTCCTGCCTAGGAGGCAGAACACAAGAGCTTTCTGTGAGCAGGCAGTGGAGAGCTGGTGCTGATATCCTCCCAGGCAGACTGCCCCTCAAATTGCTCCAAGGTGAGTAAGTACCCTGAAAATGGGGCTGCAACTTGGCAGACAAAAGGGGGCACGCCAACAGGAGCCAGAGTTGCTAATCATTCCCTCCACTGGGAAAATATTAGGCATCCTGTGCCTGCAGAAAGGGAGCAGGCGTCAGGATGTCTTTAATCAACCCAGCCAGGGCTGCCTCTGACCCTCCACTGCTCCAGCCCTGCTGACTCGCTGTCATTCTCTTGACTATAGAGGCTCAGTTGGGGGAAAGCCCTTTCCATCTCCAGCCGGAAGCCATTCTGAAGCCAGAGACTGCCTTAATTCTGGGCCACGGGTGGGAAATGCCTCCCTCCACAAGGCAGCTAGACATGAGGCTGGCAGGTGGCACTGAGCTGGGGCAGAAGGACCTGCATTCCTTCTTCACCACTGTCCCCTTCCTAACCCCACGGAAGAGAGGGGAGGCCACCTGATCTTCTGGTCAGATGTCAGAACTAGGGCACCTGGAGCGGAGGACAGAGGAGGGGAGATACTAAGATAAGTAGTGCAAGGGGTATGGGTGCCCAACCCACTGTGGCAGGGTAGCATGGCATGCAGCTGAAAGTGCCATGGGGTGGGGGGGGGCAGGGGGCTGAGGCCTTGGGCCCTACCACTGGCTGGCTGTGTGACTTCCACCAGGTCACAGCCTTTCTTGGTTTCAGTGATCCCCACCTGTAAGATGACATCGTAGTAGGTAATTCTCTCACAGGGCTGAGAATAAGATCGAAGGGAAAAAGTCTGTTAAAGATCACATTCCTAAGGCATTGTGAGTACTGCTTTGGGTTGCCAGACCACCTTACAGATGGCTTCATCCTATCTTATCCTACTGCAGACTGTCCCAGTCCCTCCATCATTTCATTCCTCAAACACATGCCAAGGTCGTACCATGTGCCAGGCAGGGACAGAAAGCTAAAACTGTCTCCAGGCTGAGCTCATTCATTAATTCAATATTTGTTGAGCAGCTATGTGCCTGGCCCTGGGTAGGCACTGAGGACTCAAAGATGAATTAGCCATTGCCTGCCTCACGAGAGCACTGGCTGTTGGGGAGATGGGAGCCAAACTAAGGAAGTCAGACAGTAAGAGAATAGGGGGCTCAGGAAAATATGTGGGAGTGTCACCACGCAGGGCAGATGGGTGCAGCCAGCAGACTGGCTGCAAAGCAGTTCGCAACAAGGAGTAGGTGTCAAGGCCCCAATCAGAGACCAAATTGTGGCTCCAGGTTAACAGCTTCCAAATTAGTCATTCTCTCCCTTAAGGGCAGCAGGCCTGTCCGCAGGGCAATGGGCTAATGCGCGCGCATACGCACACACACACATGCACGCACATACAGCAGCACCTCAGAGCCAGAGAGAAAACCAAGTCCACAGGTAAAAATTAAAGTTTTATTTGAGTCACCAGGAGAAAGATTCACTTGTGGTCCAAGTCAAATGTTCAGAATCACAACAAGCCAGAAAGATTTGATCCCAAGCATAAGCCCACAAGGGAGGGGACCAAAACAGACCAAAGACAACCACCCCATATAAAAAGATGAATGGACGGCTTCACACACACGGATGAAATGTTTGGATAGAGGCAGATTTCACATGGTCATTTCTGTTTCTTTTTAAATACAGGTTTGTGGGTGGTATTTTTTTTTCCAGCTATAAAAAAAAAGGCCCAAAAGTGCATGTGTGAGGGAGGAAAAGGCAGAAATTAAGCAATAAAGTAGATTTCCCTGGAGGGATGTGAGGAAGAAAAGAGGAAGCAGTGTTGAGAAAACTCACTTTTCTCACCATTGGGCTTCTTGCATTTTACTATTGGTCCACTAAGGTTATATTCACATTGTAGCTTTGATGCTTCTTTCCTGGGATAAGGTTGGCTAACAACCTCTGAGAACTCTAAGACAAGACCAGAAACTCGGCCCAGCCCTCAGGTTCTGTGCTTCAGGGATGGATGGTTCTGGAAAGGAGCACAACTCACAGCAATCCCTGGGTCACTCAGCACCAGTGTGGCAGTCCCTCCTCTCTCTGGGGGTGCGTAAGAAAAGGCCCCCTATTTTTAGGACTGGAGGAGAAGGGCTAGCAGTAAGATTCCAGTGCTGGTTTCCCTTGTTTTGGAAGAGCAATTTAGCTGAGGGAAAACAGGCCACTTCTTGCTCCTCCCTCCAACCAATAGCTGGTGTCCTCCAACAGGATCCCCTCTGACCTTTGGTCCCAGAATCCAAGTTGTGCTTTGAGATCAGGGAGGAAAGAGAATGGACTGGCGCCTCCTCTAAGGTTCCCAAAGCTGCTCCCTCTCCTCCAAATCATCAATTCTAAGGCCCTCCACCTGCCCTCACCTCCACTGGGGCCAAAGAGGAAGGTACTGGTCCTTCAGGGGCTCCTTCCTCAGTCACTTCCTTAACCCTCTGATCTGGGGTAAATATGTCCAAGTTGGCTCCTAAGCAGTGTTGCTGAATATGCTTGCAAGCCCCTCCCTCCCCTGCAGGGCACAAAGATGCCAAGAAGTCAAGTGTGGGGCCTGCATGGACTCAGGGGTGAAGCGGGAGGGATGATAAGAAACCCCAGAGATGAGTAAAGCTAGGCAAGGGTCATCTGGGCCGCCAATGAGCAAGAGAAGGGACTTGGAGATAGCACCATCCTTCCCTTCCTTATCTGGGCTCTGTGCTTCCAGTTTTGCAGCCCTGGGACCCTCTCCCTCTGCTTCAAGGGGGCTTTAAGAGGGGGAGGCCTGGGGCAGGGGGATAAGCCCCCACAGTAAGGCACCCACAGTGTGGGTGCTGCAGGCTCCTCTGGCCCCTGCTCTGCAGCCCAGGACACAGAGTTAAGGAATAAGAATATGCCGAGAGCCACAAAGCCTCCCCCAGCCCTCCCCCTGCCAGTAACAGGCCCACCAACTCCAGTCACCTCCTTCCTTCTGTCCAGTGCACTGGAAAGGGGGGTGGGTGGGCTTCTTCCATTTGGGGATAGAATGAGGAATTTTCACTCCAAAGAAAACATAAGGAACTTCTCTCCTCCAGGAGCCTCCCCTTCACTGGGTTTTGGGGAAAACGGAAGGTGGCTCTGTGCACCCTTTTGTCAGCCCCAACTCCTGCAGGCTCGCACCCTGCCCCTTCTTTTGCTCGCACTTGCAGGTGACAGACACCTGCAGACATGCCCTAAGACCTGGAGGTACGGAGGGTCCTGGGGCTTTGTACGGTTCCAGTCCACTTGGTGGCAGGGAGGGAGGCCGAGATGTCTTCCCATGAGGAGAAGGGAGGAGTGGCCTGCCTGAGAGCACAGGGGCCACCGGCTTCCTGCCAAGGGGCAAGGCAGGTCCCTGGAGACTGGGGGCGGGAGGAGGAAAAGGGCTGTGGGAGAGAGCACCCTGTTCCTCTCCTTCCAGAAGCTGTCCCTACAAGGAAGAAGGGTGAGACCTTGACCCAAGCTGTGCTTCCCGGGCAGCTCCTTGTCCACACCAGTGTGCGTGGGCAGGAGAGCAAAATCACAGTGTGAGAAGGAACACAAGTGGGGGGGGGATGAATGAGTCCCAAAGTGGGAGCTTCCCCCACCTTTGTTATCCTGGAGAGGGGGAGACGGTGAGGGGCACCCTCAGAGGGCCACAGCCCCATCTTTCAGACACAGAGGCAAAGCTCATGTCACTGGTCCCTACCCAACAGCAGCAGCCCTCACCCCCGCCCCTACCCTGGGGCAAGGGCATGGGGTCCCCCTCCTGGGAATGTATGGAGCCCTTCCCTGGGAGTCCTGGGGGGTGGGGGTTTGCCCCAGCCCTGGTATGTCTGGAAGTGTGAGGAGGTGGGTGGGAGGGCCTGAAAGGGCAGAAAGGAGAAGGCAGAGGCCTGGGAGCTGACAGGTCTCCCATTCCAGAGCAGCCCCGCAGCCTCGGCCTCCCCCAGAGAGGTCCACACCTGTTCCATCCAGAGAGAAAACCAAGAAGTTGGTCAAGCAGAAAACCTGCTGGAGGAAGGAGCCCACGGAAGTGGCAGAACAAGGCGTCAGTTGGCAAAAGAAGCTGGAGGAGGGTGGAAATAGACGAGCTGTCGCAGATCGAAAAAACAGAGACACTGAAGGGTGGCCAGGTCACACCCAGGACAGATGCGATGCCTGGAGTGCACTGAAGACACATGGGGCGGGGCAGCACAGGGGCTCAGATGGCCTCCACGTAGTTGGCGGGCAGCATCCCTGTGTCACCGGTGCGCTCCACGGTCCCGTACATCCAGCCGTCGTCAATCTGCTGCACATTGACGATGGTGTCCCCGTCTTGGAAGGAGACCTCATCCTCATCGGCGGCGCTGTAGTCGTACACAGCACGGTACCGCTTCTGCAGGGGTGGGGGTGCCATCAGCCTAGGGCCTGGCTCCCCTGGGCCTGAGCCTTGCTTTCTAACTCTGTGGGACCCCAGAGCCGAGCCCCAGTGAGCAGTGAACCAGCAGTTGGGACACAAGAAAGGGCTGGGCTCTACCATGGGTTTTCTCACTCTGGCATCTCACTGTCTGAGCGCAATCACACCTTTTACAATGTATTTGGTATCTACTAAGGGTCAGGCACAAGACCAGGACCGAGGTCACACTGGCTCTGCCCTCCCCCATCCCTGAGCAGGAATGCAGGAAGGTCCCATGGTCGTGATGCCCGATAGTGTTGAAAAAGTCCTATTCTGTTTGTGGGAGAAAAATCTCCAGGTGACACAAGAGGCGTCTCTCAGGTTCCACCTTCTAAACTCAGCCAAAATCTCACGGTATGCAAGCCTCAACTCTAGGAACTGTCCAGGAAGAGCAAATGGATCCAGCCGTGGCCCTGGAGGTGGGCAAGGTTCTAACATGCCCTGACTTTTGCAGCCCTTGACACTGACTTGTCGCTGGGGGTCAGCTCAGCCTCTGTGGTCCTCCAGGCCAGATGCTAGGACTGCTGGGGGGACCAAGAGCCAAGGGGCCCAGGGCTGGAGAAGCCCCTCAGGGACCCCCGGAACTGCGCCAGGGCTCCTCCCCACTGCCAGGACCTCTGCTCAGGCCTGTTTCCACCTCTGGCCTGCCCCCTCCGACTGTTTCTCATGTGATCTCAGAGGGACCTTTCCAAATTGCAAACCTGATCATGTTACTCTCTGGCTTTAAATCCTTCGGAGGCCATCCTCTTTAGAACTAAATTTCAAATTTTCAAGCAGCAGAAACCAACTCGATAGGCTCTGAAGGCTGCGGGGTGAAAGGTCACACCCCTCTTGAGTGACCTGGTCTCTCTTATCACCAACTCTTGCCTCTCTCTCTTCCAACTCTGCCTCTATCTTTTGGGCTGAGTTGCAGCCATCTATGCTTAGAATTCATCTCTCTGCGTCTGCTCTCAACCTTCTACTGCCTCTCAACACAGCTGCCAGAGCAATATTTACAAAAGTAAGCCAAACCCTGCCACTATGCATGGCTCAGCAGTCACAAAGGCCTCCCTGTGGCTACAATTCCCTCCATGATCTGACCTCATCTCCTACCCTCTTCCTCTCTCTACTCCCTATGTTCTCCTGCTGGCCCTTGACCTTCCCTAGAACAGGACCTTTGCACTTGGCATTCTCCCTGCACCTCTCACTCTTTCTTCTTACTGAGGACTTTGTTGCTCTTTCTCCCCTCACCCTGCTGTCTTTTTCTTCACAGTATCTGCCACTATCTGACCTTCCATTATATACTGACTTAGTTATTGCCTTCTTATTTGTCTCCGTGACTAGAACATAAGCTCCACGAGGGCAGGGAAGGTGGTCTTTTATTCAGAGCCAAATTCTTTGTGTCCTGGAGAGTTTTAGTGAGTGTTTGAAGGACTGGCTACTCCATCTGGAATCTTACACTTCAGAGGACCTCTTGGTCCCACCCATACCCCAGATACTCTGACACTCCCTCGTTTCTGTGTCCAGAGCATGAAGCTCCACCAGGTCACTTATCTCAGGCTATTTTATTTCTGTAATTACTATCTCTCCTGCTTCTATACATGCTGCTTTCAATTTCCAGGCACCCAGCACAGAGGAACTAAGCTTGGCCAGGGGCTCAGTATGGGTGGCTCAGCTGCACCTGTCAGTGGGAGGACAGCAGCCTTGCACAAAGGGCACAACCACTCTAAGAACTGCAAAGCCTGATCCTGCCCACTTCCTACTTTGCTCATTCATTTACTCACCAGAGTTGACCAGTGCCTGCTCTGTGCCCAGCTCAGAGTAGAACGAAAAGGACACTGCCCTGTCCACACAGAGCTTCAAGTCCAGCAGGGACACAGAGAAGTACTCTGAAGGAGACCAGGGGGTGGAGTGATAGAAATGTCAGGGGAGACCCAATTGACATGGGGTGGTTTGGGAGGGCCCCTTGGAGGCAGGGCAAGTAGAGATCTAAAGGATGTGGGGGATCATCCTCAGGAATAGTGGGGGGCAGAGCCTTGGTCCGGGAGGCCCCAAGCAGAAAGGTGCTTCATGCGCTTCCAGGTAACTAGAGTAAGGAAATGTAAAGGGTGAACTGGGGGTGCGGGTGATTTGCCCAAAGTACACCTGGGGCAGGGCTCTGCCCTCTGCACATACTTCCTCTCTGCCCAGAGGCTGAGATCCCTCTTACCTTCAGATGATAATAGGAGCTGGGGTCAAAAGTGAGGAGAAGCTGGGCTTCTTGGGTAGGGTTTCTAAGGAGCATTCCTAGCTTTGTTCAGGAGGCTTCCTTAAGTCCATCCACCTCTGGCCTCCCACCTCCAGGGTCTCTGCCCAGCCCAAGAGCTACTCACCCCGCCCCCGCCTGGGGCGCTGCGCTGTATGGAGACTGGCACTGCAGGCTCCTTGTAACCTCCATAGGATGGGGCTGCCTGCTGCTGGGGCTGCTGGTAACCTGGACAACGGGAAGCAGCGGGGCTCAGAAACTGCCTTGCCAAACCCAGTTCTTCCCAGAGCCCCTTCCCTTCCTCCACAAAGCCTGCATCATGTATTTCCACCCCTCACAACCGTGCTCTCACCACTGCTCAAAGGCTTGTGGCTGTGTGTGCACATTTGCTGCTGCTGCATATCCTACTGCAGGGGCGGCTCTCCCTGGCCACAACTGAGGCCCTGTGCAGGCGCCAAGCCCGGGGCTCATGCCCCCCGCGGCAATAGGACCCCAGAGTTTGTGTGTGTGGACGTGTATACTAGGCTTCTCTCTGACCTCCTCCCCACCCTACAGCTGGCCTGGCCCCTGGTCCTCTGCCCCACCAGCCTCATGCTCACCCGGGACGCTGGTCGGGATGTGGTGAGGCAGCTGCTGCTGCTCCTGGGGCCGCCTGTAGCTGCTGCTCTCCTGGGAGTCTCGGCGCTCAGGCTCCAGGCCCTCACCCCCACTGGGGCCCATGCGGCTCTTCTCAAACTCCTCGTGGTACTTTATCTGCAGGACAGAAAGCACTGGATGAAGGGCCACAGCAGACCAGCCAGAGCTCCCTTCCTGTTGCCACTCAAGACCTCGGGAGGGGAGAGACTCCCTGAGGGCTCCAGGCAGAGAGCCAGGTCCCCTCTGTGCGCCCTTGGCCAAGCTACTCAGCCTCGCCAGGCCTGTTTCCACCTTTCCAAAATGGAACACCAGCGCCTCCCTCGGGTGTCGCTGGAGGATGCAATGAGACGTTGATGTAAAGGGCCCATGTAAGCTAAAGCTTCAGACACACGGTAAGGGGTTGTTTGATGTGCCTCTGGCGGGCACTGGGGCTGCCCTGCTTCCACCCGGGGCCACAGCAACACCAGCAGCTCCTATTTACTGGGTCCCAGCAGGTGCCACTGTGCTAGGTGTTCTGCATCACGAGTCTGTCTCAGCTCGTCAGCACCTACAAGGGGGTGTATTACAGCCCCCACGTAACAGACAGGAAGGAAACTAAGGCACTGAGGCAAAGTGAGTTGCCCAAGATCCTGCAGATTCCAGAGCCTGTGCTCTTGATGATGAGGCAATTCTGCCTCTTGTGGGCATGACCTCTCAGAGCTCTGCTGAGGACCCCAAGCTGCAGGTCAAACTGACAGGCCCTCTCCGAGAGTGGGCAGTTATCTTGCAGATGGGTTCCTCCTCTGTGCGGTTCCAAAAATGGGCAAAGAGAGGCCTGGGGACGTCACATGCCCCAGGTACTCAGCCCGGGCTAACTGAGCAAGACCCACCAGAGCTGCATTTCTTAAAACCTGGTCTTCGGACTATCTGCTTTCAACCCTCTTGAGCTGCCTGTTAGAATGCAGATTCCAGAGCTTTCCACAGAATCTAAAAAATCAGGGCTGAGGGTCTGGAATATGGATTTTTAAAAGCTCCGCAGGTGAGACTGAAGCAGACTCAAGTTTAAGAACCAGTAGCCTAGAGCAGAGGCTGGCGAACTATGGTCCATGGGCCCACAGCCTGCTGGCTTGTAGCCCGTGGGCAAAGAATGGTTCCTACTTTTTTTAAGTAAAAAAATCAAGAGGAATAATATTTTGTGATATATAAAATTCCTAAAAAATTCAAATTTCAGTGTCAGAAATAAAGTTTTATTGGAATATAGCCAGGTCATGTGTTTACCTATTTCCTGTGGCTGCTTTCATGAGGACATCAGGCCCTTTTCAGAGAAAGTAGGCTGACTCGTGCTTGCGCAAATAGCACGCTCCTGCTGGTAAATATTTTAGCACAGTCCTCTCCAAATTATATCTTTTTATAAATTACTTAAATATAATCACTTTATAAGTAAGGAATATATACCATAAAATTTACACTAAAAATATTCATTAAAGCAAGTATGAGATGAAAAAGAACCAGACCCAGGAGTGCCGAGGTTTTCTCCCTGTACCCTTGGTGCCAAGGCCCCACCCTGAAGGCTGCTGGTGGGCAGGCGAGCAACCAGGGGGCAGGGCTTAGGCCTGCGGTTTGAGTGTTCCTGGGTGTTGTGGGAGTGCTGCGCTGGGCTGGGCTGGGAGTGGGGAGAAAATGGGGCAGAGAAGGACAGAATGGGAAACTGGGGGAGAGGACACTGCTTCTTTCCCAGACAGGCCCAGGCCCGGAATTCTCTCCAAGCCTTGGACCACCGGATTGGAAGCTGGTTGTCACTTCCTGTTCACCAGGATCCTGCCCAGCGATTCTCCCAGTGGGAGCTGGGGGATGGAGAAATTAGGGGGCAAAACCTGTCCTTCTGAAGGAAAGGCACCAGTGGCCCCGTGTCCCATAAGTCCCCCTAGCCCCGGTTTGATGGGAGCTGCCCCAGCCCGGCCACTCCCCTTTGGCCATGAACTCCCACTCTGCTGCCTTCTCTCCCCATCCTTGGGACTCGCTTTGAATGGAGGGCAGGAGTTAACACTTGGTCAGGCAGAACTTATACAGGAGGAGCTGGGTAGGCGGTTTGCAGGCATGGCCACTGGGCATACCTGCCTCGAGTCTACTGGCTAAATGACACTGTAGCCAGGCTGGGAGGGCAGGCAGGGCATCAGCAAAACCCAGGATGGGTCCAGTCTGGAGGCAGAGAGCACCTTATTTAGGGGTTTGGAATTAGGACCAGCCCCTCTTCTCCCTGCACCTCCCCTGCATGACTCAGTTGGGACCTTCACCCAGATGGTGAAACAGGCTAAGCCTATTCCTGGGGGGAGATAGCCGCCCTCGCCAGACTGAAAACCCATTGGCTCCCCCAACTCCCACGTGGAAGGCACCTAGGGGTGAAGTTCTCAGACACGGGGCCAGTGCCCACCTCTCAGATTCCTAAGACAGGGCAAAAGGTGAGTCTTTTCAGCCCCACTCCCCCAATGACCCCCACTCACTGGCAGTTGGGGGAACAAGGGGACAACCCTCCTGAGGCCTCTGGGCTCACAGGGCAATTTCCCTTTCGACTTTTGTCCTGGGGGTGGGGGAGTCAGCTTCCTGAATTTACTTTCTGACCCCTCTGGCAGCCAGTGACAGGGGAGGGGAAGTGCCTATGTGGAGGTGGATAGAGGCCTCGCTGGGTGTCCCTGATGCTGACAGACCCCCCTCTGGGTGTGAAGGGGTGGCAGAGAGCCCTGGGAAGAGTCTGTCTGGGCCCCAGCTCCTTGTCTGTACCAGGGGACCAAGGCCTGGCGCTGTCAGTGTCCCACAGACTCAGCCCTTCATCATGGCTGTGGGGCACCCCCATGCCTCATCTCTGGAAGATCATGAGCCCTTTGCTTACTCATGTGACCGTGGAAGAGTCCCTCCCCTGGGCCTTGAGGCCTGGGTACCTTCTGCTCCCAGGTAGTCCTGAAGCGGCCAACCAGCTCTAGGAACCCAAACAAACTCAAGCTGAAAACAAGTGGGCGTGTGTGGGTCTCCACAAGTGGCTGAGACATTTATTTCGTTCCCTAAAAATCTACTACCCATAGAAGGCAGTACAGCACAGAGAAGACAAGTAATGACTCTACAGCATCTTACTACGCTGATGGACAGTGACTGCAGTGGCGGTGGTGGGTGGGTGGGACGGGCACTTGATAATATGGGTGAATGTTGAAACCACAATGTTGCTCATGTAAAACCTTCATAAGATTGCATATCAATGATACCTTAATTTTTAAAAAATCTACTACCCAAAGATAAATATTTGTCAAAATATGACCAGCTGACCCAAGTGTATTCACAGTTCTCACTAACACAGAAGAACCCTCCCCACAACAGCTGCATATCATATAATTATTTGTAACAATTATAACAACCATAATTGTTCATATTAATAACCTTCACACTTGCTCAGCTCTTCACACTGAGTTCCTATAGGCTCTGCATATTACCTACCTTGCTCCTGATGATAATCACCCTAAAAAGGAAGTTGGACAAGTATACTTTAATTCCCATTTGACAGAGAAGGAAATGAGGCTCAGAAGTTAAATGGCAGAGCTTTCATTGCTCAGTAAGGGCTGAGGCCGGTGACACAAAGTCAAAGTGACAGCTAGGGCAGGCATGGAGCAGGGTGACCACGCTCCTCGTCCCAGTTCATGTCTTATGTTCTGGAATATGACCCTTTCACTCTCAACAGGGATAATGATCATAAGGTCACCCTGACTTTGAGAGAAGAGGATGCCAGGCATGTGAACTCAGAGAGGCAGCACAGAAGGATAGGTGGGCTGAGCATAGCCAGGCTGCAGCCCCTTCCGCCTGGGCCCACCTGGATGACATGTCAACACTGCCAACTTCCTAACCCTCCCCTCCCCAGAAACTGTCCTTACTTTGCTGACCTAATGGTCTCAGAAGCAAACAGGCCCACGAAAGGGGGTTAGCACATCCAAACGGGAAAGAAACATTCCCAGACTCCAAGGGCCTCCCTGCTCCAAGCTCAGCAACGTTCTGATCTTCTACGAGCCCTGAATGGGCTGATCACCATAAGCCCAGAAATGTCAGCAGGGCCCCAGCTTAAAAAGGACACCACATTCTAACTGCGTCTGAGAGATCCAGGTGCACGTGGGATAAGGCGCCCAGGCCCCTGGTAGCCCAGACTCCAGGATGACTAGTGGAAGGTCCACTGCAAAGCTATAGAAAATGCATTTTGTAGGCTAGCTGATGTTCTGTTTTCTGAACTCCCTGCTCCAATGATTGTGGTGGAAAACAAAGGTCTGACTCTACACGTTGCTCCCACATGATTCTACGTCATGGCTAATGAGGGAACATCGGGCTTGGAATGGAATAATCAACTCACTGGCTGGGTCTACTTTTTCTAACAAGGTCTCCCATTTGTTGAGGGCCTATTTTGTATCTTTACATGAGTTACTCATTTCCTTTTCTCTGCCAGCACAGGAACAATGTATCACTATCATCCCCACTTTATAGGTTTATAAAGTTTTTAATAAACTTTATAGGTTTTTAAAGCAAGGCTCAGGAGGTGGGTAACTGGCAGGTTAGTCAGAATCCAGTTCTAAAATTAGATCCTTAGTTCACAACCACCATGCAATGCTGCTTCCTATTAGAGACTAACAATATTTTTGTTCCTAAAACATGTAAATCTGTGTTCCAGTTCATTAATAATCAGAAATGCAAGTTAAAACCACAGTGAGATACCATCAGACACAATCAAAATGGCTAAAGTGAACAAGTTTGAGGACGTGGAGCAATTGAAATGCTCATCACTGTTGGTGGGAGAGTGAATCAGTACAGCCACTGGGAAAATGGTTCACCATTATCTGGTAAGGTTGAAGGAGCATATACTCTTAAGACCCAACAATTCCACTCCACACTAGGAAATTTGTATAAGGATGTCCAAAGCATGTGGGAGCGATCCAAACATCTATCAACACCAAGATCAACAAAATGTGTTTGGATAAAATGAAGGTTCCTGTGGCCAGGATTCTCACCTGGCCCTGGCTGGCTAGCTCACTGCACAGGTGTGGGCAATGTGTCGTTATTGGCTCTATATAAAGGGCCCTGCCCAGTGCTCTGAACAACACGGTGGCATGGCTGCAAGGCTGCAAGAGAGCAGAGCAGAGGACAGAGACTGGGACGGCTGTATGGGCAGAGAGGTCCAGAGGATGGCTGTGCAGGCAGAGAAGCCCCGAGGCAGAGACTGGGTTGCTGCATGCAGACTTGCTCTGAGTGAACAGAATTTTAGTGATTGACCTGTCACTGTGGAAATAAAGTTGGGTATAACCCTTTCATCCCAAGAACATTCTACTGTCATTTCTTTGGTCACACTGAATCCATAGTGAACTTGCCCAGGGCTGAAACCCATTGGGGCAAGACAATGTGGCATAAGCATTAAGTGGAATGCTATGCAGCAATGAAAAAGAAATGACCGCCAGCTATGTGCAAACGCTTAGACAAAGCTTTAAATCCAAAGTGGTCCTAAGGAAGCAAGACACAAAAGAATATATGCTATATGTAGATAATCAGTTAGAACAATTTAGAAATGCATAGTAACATATTAAAATTATAAAGTAAAGAACGCACACACTTTCAAAAATTGAACTAGAGGATTGTCTGACAAGTCTGCCTCCAGGTCATTTGACTCTGGGGCTGGAACTTTGTTTGCCTTCACTATTTACTACTGATTAGGCCCAGACTCTAAAGACTGAAGCTAATTAAGGAACATAAGCTGTTAACTATTTTTGACTGATAGAAATGCAAAGGATTTCTGCCTATAGTAAGGATGTCTCCAAAGTTTATAGTGTATGGTCCTCTAGAACATTAACTAGTTCTGCAGCAAATGGCAGAACATAAACCAGTTCTGTCTAATTGTATCCAGCACTTTCTTTCCCTGTCCAGGCATCGCCTCTGCCTGTCCTATCCTCCACTGGTTCCTCATAATTAAGTTAAATATACGCTAGGTGCTCACAATATGGCAGTTATGTTTTTAATACTTTGACAACTCCATCTTAACAGGGGTACAGTAATGTTCTGTTTTTTGACTTGCTGGTGAGTACACACTCAGGTGTTTACCGTATGCTACTGGGTGTTACATTTCACAGAAAAAGTTAAAAGACACACCCTTGTATACAGAAAGTCAAAATGCAAGTAGATATATGATAAATAAAAGTAGAGCTACTTAAAGACAGTGGCTCCCATAAAGAGGGCTCATAAATTAAATTTCCCAATCCATTAGAGGTCGTGACCAAAGGCCCGGATTCCAAAAGGACAAATTTCAACCCATAGCACGGGCCCTGGCCTCTCAATCCTTTAGATGGCTTTAATGACGACCACGAATGTGTAACTTACTAGCATCTTGCCTCAAAACTGTCCACGTATTCTCAGTCCTAGACAATGGTCCACCTTTTCAGGCCAACTTTACTCTACATCCTTCCTTTAGGCACAATGTAGAAAACAGATGGGTCTGCCTTTAAAGTAATAATAATTACACTGACAACACTGATCCGACTATGACAGACCATGTGCATGCAAAGCATTTAAACACCACCTGGGGAGATTAAGCACTCGTTTTTGTTTTTAAAATGCTCTTGCTTGCAAATCTTCTAGTCTGGGGCATATTCCTGTGGGGAGGGAAGTCTTCATCTCTTTGCAAGATGGCCTAACCTCTGGAAACAGCTGGCAGTCATTGATACTAAGCTGGGGAATGAGTAACAAGCTACAAAAAGGGATACCATATTGGATACAAAACAAAGGTGTGGCTCTAAACACCAACTTTCCCAAAACTCTTCTGGAGGTCGGGACAACTTAACAATGGCTATAAATGTGGATTAAACTTCCCTTGGGATTCTGGGATGTGGCCAGGCCTGGCACCCTCTGACTTAGGGCTTGGTGAAGCTTTTGCGGGCCTTTCGGTGATGATTCTCCAACTTCAGTGAGCGCCATAGTTACCCAGAGAATGTGTTTTTAAATGCTGGTTCCTGACCCTCACTCCCAGAGAAGCTGATTCAAGTGACCTGGGAGGAGGAAGCCCATAAGCCTGCATTTACAATAAACCTTCCCAAATGATTTTATACTGTTGTTTGGAGGCTCACATTGACAGATTCTAACTGCATTCACTGAAACCAAGAGTCTTCCAGCTCTGGCCACACTTTACAGGTTTTAGCTAAAGCTGCAAAAGCAGAACAAGGTCAGGTTCAAGTCACTTCCCTGTTTCAGCTGCAGAGGACAATCAGCTAATTGCAGCTTTGTGGTTAATGATAAGATGGTATCTTGTTAGGTGTGGATGTCTTGGCCACAGTGAGTTCTGTTACCAGGGCTCCTCAGATATTAACACCTCCAATAACCAGTGGGTGGGGGAGGGAAGAAGAACAGGTGCCCTAGGTGGGGCATGGAGTATTCTGGAAGCTTTCCAGAAAGGGAAGCAGGGAGGACTGGGCTTGCTTGCCTCCCCCCATCAAAAACCCACAGGATGGATGCAATACACGTGTCAGGCGGGGGAGTTGGGTTGCAGATGGGGAGTCAGTGTCAGTGATGAAAGACAAGAGTCTTCACAATGAAAAGCCACAGAAGCTGAAGAATATTTGTGAGTATTCCAGGTTTCCCCCTCAGTCTGTGAGGAGAGCTCTAAGACAGACCTTTACCCTTCAGGGCAGGGGGCAGGGAAGCTCTAGGGTGTGAGGCTAGACTTTTGCTTCTGAAGAAGCACCCGAAACAGGCTGTTGGTGGGGGCGGTGAACTAGAACCCTTGTAGACATGCCCTCCCAGCCCAAAGGAAGCGCTCCATTTCCTCAAGCCACAAATTTCAAGCTGCAGGTCAACCTGGTTGCAAAGACCACGTAGTCAAGTCTACAAACAGCATCTTAACAAAACAGAACAGAATATATCAAATGTCCTCCAAGTAGTCAAGACTCTTCCATGAACATTTTGACTCTTGTTTTCTCTCTAAATAAATAAGCATGCCTGTTTGATGGGCCATGGCGCAAAATGTATTTCATATTGTAGGCTGCAGTCAGAGTTTGAAAGCCATGGTTTTGGGCATGGCTGGGTCTACTGGCTTGGGCCCTGGCTTCTGAGAGCCACCTGGGCCACTGCTGGAGCCCACCCTAAGCCAGCCTCTAGCAGCTGCTTACCAAAGAGGCTGGGTGGAGGAATGGGGAGGGAAAACGAAGTCTGGTGGACCACCTGAAATCCGGACCCCCCATGGCCTCTCTCCCCAGTCCCTCAGCCCAGAGTTACACTGGACAATTTGCCAACCTCTTTCTGTTCCAGACATGAAGACAACTGCTTGCCTAGTCCTTCATTTGTAGGACCTCCTAGCCCAGGCTGGCTGGGCACACCCTACAAAATTCTATGTCCCAGGATCCTGTGCACAGATGAGCCCACAGCCTATGTTCCAGCTTCCAGCTCACAGCAGCACCCTGCCCCCCCATGCCCAAAGTCCCTGAGGTGGCCTCCCCAAAAGCTTAGAGCCACCCTGGCTGCCGGTCTATGGCTCTGCCAAGCAGGAAACCAAAGCCGTTCCCTGGCTAAAGGTGCTATGGGGCCCACTGACCCACCACTGACTCTCCACACCCAGCCCTGCCTGCCACAGCCAAACTGCTGACCGTCCCGGGCCCAGGAGGGTCCAGGCCCAGAGGTGCAGGGCCAGCAGGCAGAGCCGGCTGGGGTTTTTACACAGGAAGGAAGAACAAGCGGAGGTGGGGGAGGAGGCCGAGAGAGGGCGGAAATGACTGCAATGTCAGCACCCAGAAGCAGACAAGGAGGCTGGCCCCTCCCCACCCCTGCCACCCATTTTTTGACCTTTGTGCTCAGACAAAACAGCCCGTCTGGACCCTGACACCCACCACAGCCAGGACAAAAAACCCTGCAGCGAGAGCACGGTGGGGGTGTGTGTGATTTAGCACATCAGACCCCCAGAAGTATAGTGCTTTCAAGGTAGAAATGCTATATGGGCACAGGGGGGTTAAGGGATACTGAAAGTGCACAGAGTAAAAGCATCTGAGAACCCTAAGCCCTTCCCTTCCCTCTGCTCAAGCAGCCACAAGCCAGGCTTGCCCAGGAGAGCAGGGACAGCAGAGAACTGGCTTCATTCATGTCTGCTAGACCGGCAGGGAGGGGATGAGATGGGAGGGCAGCAGGTCAGAGTGGGCACCACGGGGGCAGGGAGCTTACGTTACTGATCTGATCCTGGGTCTTCTTGATTCTCTGGAGTTCAGGTGTGTCTGCCACCACACTGAAGCCTCTGCCCTTGTTCTTCTCAAACTCCTCCTTATAGCGCACCTGGGGGACCGAGGGAGAGGGACTGGGGTCAAGACGGCAGCAATGAGCCAGGAGAGAGATCCTGACCGGAAATCCCCCTGTAGAGACTTCCACCCCCACCCCCACCTCAAAGCGGAAGCCTCAGTCAAAAAGTGTTAGGCTAATAATAGTAACTCATTAATATGTATTCAGTGCACTCTGAGTGCCAAGGGCTTTCCATGACTATCATTTAAGTCTTACTATATACTATTATTGGCTCTATTATTATTTACAGATAAGGAAACTGAGCCACAGAGAGGCAAAGTCCCATGCTTAAGGTCACACACACAGCTTGGCAGCAAAGGTCCAGAGCCACCAGGATGCAAACTCCCATCTGCCTGACTCCTGACCCTTCACTGCCCGCCTATCCTGCCTGAAAGCTACAGGAAGATGGTTCTTTCCACAGCTCCCGAGTGCCCCAGCCCTCACCCTAACCAGGACGTGGCCCTCTCTGCCGAGAACCCAGTGGAGTTTTTAGGAGACCAGCTGAGTGAGGGCTATGCTAAGGGATAAAGTTGGCGCCCAGAAAGGAGGGCAGTGAGACAGCCACTCGGAAGCCTCCATCAATGAGCCTTTGACAGGCCCCAGCGGCTTCCTGGAGACTGCCAGGCCAGCTTCTGAGATCACTGCCACAGAAGGGGACAAAATTGGTGGGGGACAGACAGTTCCAACCTCTGCCTTCCTCTTCTGAGAATTCCATGCAAACTCAAGTACTAGAGTACCAGTCAGATATCAGAAAGGACTTCCCAAGCACTAAAGGAATTGAACTGTGAGGAATACTGTGTCCTCCCCTGGACATTCTGAAGAACAGAATCGAGGCTGGAAAAGCCCACAGGACACAGAACTATTCCTTGGCTTTCAAAGACTTCACTGTCAACCTCAGCAGCCAGCTGTTCCAAACCCCACCAGCTGCCTGGATTTCCTCCCGTGGGGCTGCACTGTCCTGGAAATAGGTCAGCCCAGGACATGAAGCCCAGGACCTTGGGAGTTTCCAGAATGACAAGCCCCAGCAGCTCCCAGGCACGGAGACATCTGGCCGCAGCTCTGAGCTGCACCCTGACCTGACCATCAACACACACATATGCAGCCATGGCTGCACCTGTCAGTTCCTCCTCACATCCCCCAGGGATCGGGGTTCCTTGTTTGTCCCCCAGAGCCCCAGCTTACCCATCCACAGGGTTCTTCACCCTAAACGGTTCTGGAACCTCTTTTGTTCTCATCAGGCTACAAACAAAGGCCTAGATATGCTAGTGCCCATTAGACTGGAAGTTAACACAGTGCATAAAAGTTCCTCCCACACGAAGGGCCCAGAACTGCCCCAGCATCAGCTCTTCCAGGGAGCCCGGGACAGCGTGGTGACTTTCGTGTTAGGTTGAGGGACATCCTTTGAGTAGAGAGCATCAGAGAAAATAAGTAAGTCACTTAGAATTAGAAATAATGTAGCTCCAGATGCAGAAGCCCCAAATCCAAGGTCTCTGGCACCAATTTCCTCATTTTAAAAGGGTTGTCACAAGAATCAGTTAAAATATGGGGAGAGGGCTTCCTACCACCACCCATGGGCAAAGTGCCAGAGGGAGCTGGTACTAACACAGGCTGTTTCTCACTTCCTAAGGGATCTTGGGGTGATGACTTAACCCCTCAAGCCTCAGTTTCCACATCTGTAAAATGATGATCATAATCCCACCCATTCCAATCAATGCTGCAGATCATAGACAATGGCCCTAAAGAGGCAAATGAACTGAACCCTGGAGTGTGAGGCAGAGCTCAGCACTACCAGTGAAGGTTGGTGAGAAAGTGCTCTGTCAACACTGAAGCACTGAACAATCACCAGTCCCCCACTCCTTCCCCTACTTCCTGGCCTTGTCAGGGTCAGGCCCCTAATCCAGGGGAATAATTGCCATGGCCACACTGCAAATGACATCAGCTGGTTCCCAGGCTCAGGAACTGCTTCTCCCTGCCAGGGAAGGATAATCTCCCTCCTGGCACCAAAAGCCAGAGAAGGAGGACCTGGGGTGGAGTGGGGGCTGAGAAGGGACAGAAGGAAGCCTGGGCTCAGCACTACTTTGCTGTGTGTCCTTAGGCCATCAGTCCCCCTCTCTGGGCCCCTGGAACAGCTCTGGAGTTTGGCCACATTTAAGCACCTGCAGGCCATAACTATGGAGAAGCAAAGGTAGGGAAGATTCTCTGAGGTCTTTTGGTGCTGGAGTAGCAGGGGTAGAGGGTGGGGAGCCAGGAGTGTGGGGAGGATCCTGCCTGGCGCTCCTCGCTCAGGGCTCCCAGGTCACCCAGGCAGGAGGGGCTGCCCTCATCTGGGAGGGCTCACCAGGACATGACAGGGTCTCTGAGGAGGGACAGGACCTGCCCCAGGTCACTCAACCCAACTGCTGGTAGGGTCGGGGTGCAGCTCAGAGCTGTGGTCAGATGATGCCATGCCTGGGAGCTGCCTGGGCCTCCCATCTTGGAAACTCCCAAGGTACGGTCAGGACTGATGCCTGAGGCTCGGCCTCCAGCCCAAACAACCACGGACCTTGAAACTCTACTTTTTACATGCAGATTTATGTCTACTTCTTCCTGGATCTATCTTGTTCACCACTTATCCCAGCAAGCAGTAGGTGCAAATAAGTGTGTGTTGGGTGAATCATGAATGAATTGACAAACCAGCACCTAACTTGGAAAATAACTGCCTTGGGGAACCAACAAAAGACGAAATCAGTTTTAAAATAAGGCACACACAGATGGGGAGACGAGCTAATGAAAAAGGTCAGTGCTCAAAGCAATTGTCAAAAGGTCACTGTGTCCATTCCCCAGCTTCATTATGCCCAAGTTCCATTTCCTCTCCTTCCCAAGAGAACAGCAGGAGCGAACATTTATCGAGTTATCAAGGGCTGATTCTACGCCAGGAACTGTTCTAAATGCCTAGTATGTACTAATATCCTCACATCAACCTTTGGAGAGAGATAATCCCCATTCCACAGATGAAGGCACTGAGGCCCAGAGGAGTTAAGCAACTTGCCCAAGGTCACATAGCTAGTGGTGGCAGACCCGGGATTTGACCTTCAGTCAGCTCAGGTTAGAATGACATAGATATGCTGCCTACTGTGCTGGACACAGGGTCTGAGATAAGAGTGGAAACCCTGTCGCAGAGTGTGGCCCGAGTCTTCCTGCACTCTTCTGTTCCCTGTGGCTTTTCCACCCTGTGCTGGGGCTGCAGCACATGGAGGTATGCTAATGAGGGAAAATATAAAAGAGATTCTCCTGGCACTTCTGCCTATGCTCAGGGGGCCATACAGAAACCCCCACCACAGCGCCACCCCAAAGACGTTGCCTTCACTCAGCCTGGGTCTGGGGCTGGGCCCTGGCCGCCAGTTCCCTGCCTCAGCCAGGCCTGGACAGGACCACCCAGGAGGTCATTTCTGGTCAGCTTTGTGGTTTCCTCCACCACAAGGGAGGCTCCAGGTGTCCCAGACACCCAAAGTACCACTTTGGGAACCAACCTAGAGACAGGAAATCAAATAAAGTTGAAATAGCACCAGCAGCTTCCAGAAACTGAGAAGGGCTGAGACACCCTGGCAGGCCCAGGAAGGGGCCCTGGAACGAACCCTGCCCATCACCCTGGCGGGGTGGGGCAGCCGGGCAGAGGAGACTCCCACTTCCCTTCTAGCCAGCCCCAGGCGGCTCTAGCCAGCCCTGTCCCCACAGCATCACAGGAACCAGCACCTGTCACCCCACCCCCACCCCCACCCCCACAACCCGCCAGGCCCACTCAGCCCTTCCAAGCCCCGGAGCATCAGGCCCAGCCCCTGACCTCTAGGCAACTGGGGTTTGCAGTCTCCATTTTACTAGGGTGGGAAAGAAGCTGAGAGGCAAGCAGCCATGCTCAGAGCACATAGCAGGGGAAGGTGGAAGAGAGAGAGAATCAGGTTTGCAAAGAGGCCAAGGCCTTGGCTTCCACCCTCTGCCTACCCCAGTCCCAACTCCCAGCCCCTGAGGAGCTGCAGGAGATTAGGGCTGTGTCCTCAGTGCAAAGCCCTAACTCCCATGGCTCCTGCCCCTCATAGCAGAACAGGGTGGGGGCAGCTCCGTCAGCTCCCCGAGCCCAGCTCTAAGCCTCTCAAAGTGGAACCAAAGCGCTTACCAGAATCACCACGGCTGTCAAAACGCAGGTAGCTGGGCCATGCCCGGAACTTCCAGCCAGAAGCCTCTCGGGTAGAGGCCCACGAATCTGCATTCTAATAAGCCCTGCCCCAAGCCCCCACTGGTGACCGCTACCTCCCACCAGATTGAGCGCGCAGGGCTGGTGCCACGGCAGGCTGCAGAACGGCTAAGAGCAAAGGGCTTGCAATCTGCTGCTGCCACTCTAAACGTGTCTCCTCAGCTGTAAAATGGGGATGACGAGGGTTCCTGTTTCATCGAGGAGTTATGAGGATTAAATGAGGCCAGGGCCTGGCCCTACATGAGGACCTAGTCAAGAGTGACTGCCATTCTCTTGATTTCCACAGCCCACATGAGAGCCCGGGGCCTGGGGAGCCCAGGAGGTGCACAACAGGCCAGGCCTCTGGGGAGGAGGGGGCACAGGTGGGGTGAGGAGCTCTGGGATTCTGGGGAGGGGTGCCTTCACCATCTCCTACAGACCCAGTTGCTCAGGCTTTGGGTTCCAGGGGCAAAAAGAGCTACAGCCAAGCTTGTGTGGGCTTGACAAAGGCTGAGGGAATCAGCAGGTTTTGAATTTCTCCTCCCTTGAGCAGGAGTGTGTGTGTGTATTTGTGTGTGTCCCATTCACCCCTGACTCTGTGTGAGTGTGTGTGCACAAACTCCTATACTTCCGGACCTGCACCTTTCCAAAGACCTACTGCCCCCACCTTGCACCCCTTCCCCAGGTCCCTCCCATGGAAGTCCCACAGCCCGGGGTTCTGACTGCTCCTCGCAAGCTATGAGGTGAGTATGGGTTGCCCGGAGATACTCTGGCCTGCCCACCCCCTAAAACCCCCTCCCCTCTGGCCTTAGCAGGCCCCCTACAGGGTTGGGGTCAGAGGCAGTAGTCAGGGCCTGGCTGGCCAGAATCTTCCCTCTGCAGACCAGGCCCAGGTCTCAGGGCTGTCACAAACCTTCATGCCAGCTGGGCCACCCAGCCTTGCCCAGCTGGCAGGGATCTTGTAGCTGCACGGGCTCCCCCACTACTGCAGCTTTCACACCACAGGAAAGATGGGGTCCAGGCTGACAGATGTGAGCTGCTGCCAAGAGAAAAACCAGCTTCCCCTAATTGCTCCCCACCACTATGGGACACACGGAAGGCCTGAGCCTCAGGCCACACCAGGGCTACACATGGTCAAGGTCACTGCACCCAAGAGAAAAAAACAGAGCCTGGATCCTGAAACCTCACTAACTGTGAGTGTCAACTGGCCAATTTGGGGGCTGCTCTCCGCCTCACCTTCCTCACCTGACAGCCCCCAGAGCAGGGTCAAGGACAAACGAGTTGAAGTAGCTAAAAGCACTCGCTAAGCCACAAGAGTTCTCACCAGCACGAGGGACTATTATGTTTATTATCAAGGTAGAGATAACTCTCTCAGGGAGCTGGGTGGCAACCTGGAAAGAACACAGGTCCCAGAGTTTAGACAAACCAGCATTCAAAGCCACCGGCATCTTTTTACTCTTCCATAAAGTGGGAATCACCCTGCCAACTGCACACAGCTGCTGTGAGGCCTGAATGAGCTGGTATGTCCAGAGCATTAAGCACTCGATACATTAGCAGTTAATATTGTTATTACCTCTACTACTATCTGTATGACCTTAGCAAGTCCCTTAATGTCTCTGAGCCTGTTTCCTCATCTGTACCATGCGAAAAACAGCACTTCCTCATCGGGGGCCAGGAGGATTAAATGAGAGTGCGCATAGAGCCGAAGACAGCACAGGGCTGATTCTCCCTGAGGGCATGGAAAGATCCGGCAGCAGGCGCCCCACTCCAGAGGCATCAGGAGAGATGCCCCTGCACCCAGGTGGGTCTTCTGCAACATTTTCCTGGCCCTGGGCACCCTGACTGTTTGGCTAAGTTCTCCAAGGAGTCTTGCTGAAGCCCCACCCTACTCCAACCTGCCAGGCCAGGCTTGTTCCAGAAGCCTTTCTGACCCCCAGGCAGGGTCAGTTGTTCTGGTCTCAGGGCTCTGGACCTTTTGCTTATTCCTTATGCCCACTAAAGACCGAGTTTTCCCTGGAGTAGGAACCCTGTCTCCTCCCTACTGCAGGGCCATATACCATTCCCCATGCAGGTGCTCAGGAAAACCAGGCCCCCTAAGGAGACAAAGACAGGACAGGCCCCCAGGGCAAGGCCCCCTTGGCATCCTGCCCTCTGATGGAACATGGCTCTAGAGCATGGGCTGTGTAACCTCAGACTAGCATGAGTCTGGAGAAGAAGGTTCCCTCCTTTGAGGATGGGGTTGACTGCAGAAAAGGCAGAGAGCAGCTTCCTGGAGAAGGCAGCCTTTAGGGGTCCTGCAGGAGAATCCCAGAGAAGAATGAGACCTCTCCAACCCACTTGAGGTAGGACACGGGGCATGCCCTCCGCCACTCCTTCAATGAAATCAGGGGATATGAGGTAACTGGGGGCAGGGGCGGGGGCAGGGAAACAAGGCACAAGGCGAGCGCTAGGATTTCAGCACCTCCGCCTTGCTGGTGAGCACAGGAGAGGGGGCCCTTGCCAAATCCAGGGGTTACCACAGCCGCCCCTCCCCTCCGGGCCCACCCGCTCACCTGACTCTGGAGCTCACTCTGTTGCTTGAGGCGAAGGTTTTCCGGGGTGTCAGCCACCATGGTGAAGGACTGCTTGGGGTAGTGTCTGCAGAACAGAAAAAACAGAGTGGGGGTCATCCTGGAGAAGGGGTGAGAACCTCTGGGTGTCTCACAGACCCCTGACTCTCCCCTGGCAACTTCCTCTTATCTGTGGGTAGCCCCCACATCTGCCCCCGCAGCAGGACAACAGTGTCCACTGCCCATGGCCAAGGGGAGGCCAGCATTTCTCAGATTCAGCCTGGGCTGAGCTGGAAGACACAAGCCAAGCATCTGGCCAGCTATGGAGAACTGTCCTGAGCCAAAGGGAGGCCCTGGGGACTCTGAGGGTTTCAGATGATCCTTGTTTGGGGATAATCCATGCCTTAAATCTACTACACAGGGAAGATGAGGAGGCTAGGTCACCCAGGAGGGCCCAGCCAGATTAGGGATATGGTGGGCATGAGGTCAGGACAAAGCCTTCAGCTAAGACCAGAAATGGAGACCAACCAGGCAGGGAAGGGCAGGAGAGATAGACAGAAGAAAAGGAGAAAGAGACATGCATATCCAGGGGGACTTCCTGGAGGAAGTGGGGAGAGAAAGTAAATGCACACCTCCAGATGGTGTTTCAAAGGGCTAACAAGGTCCAACTTAACTGAAGGGTAGGTAAGGGATCAGCTTAAAGCCAGAAAAGAAGTAACCCTCAGGTGAGAGATAACGCTGCAACAACAGTTGGTGTTTGCCCTGTGCCAAGGGCATATGTTCCTTTGCATATCAAATTCTCACAAACGCCCTTGACAGATGGCAGAACTGAGGCTTGAGGATGCAAAACAATGTGACCAAGGCCCACAGCCAGTAATCAGTGGCATCCAGATTTGCACCCAGTCTCCCAAGGGGCCCTGCACTCCGAACCAAACCCTTCAATCTCCAGACACAGGACAGACAAGTAGCCTGTGCCCAAGAAAGAGGGTTGCCTTAGAGGCATCAGGAGCCAGCACAGCCCTCCCTCAGAGCCAGGCCTGCAGGAACCTCCAGGACATCCGGTCCTACCCCCTCACTTCCCAGGGGAGGAACTAGCATGCTGGCGCCAGGCACTTAGCACTTAGCTGATTCCATAATTAACTTCTTTATCAGGCTAGTTTATTGTTTTCTCTCTCCACTACTTCTCCACGAAGTGAGGGGTTTTCTTGGGGAGGTCTCTTCTGTTAACTGATTTATTCCAAGCTCCTAGATTTGTATCTGGTGTTCAATAAACATTTCTTGAATAAACAAATGTCAAACCTGGCACTGAAGCTGGGTCAAGACTAGAACTTGGGTCTCCTAATTCCTACTGGGCCACTACAAAGCTCCCCAGCAAACCAGTTAGAGGAGATGCAGTCCTAAGTCACTGTGGTTTAACAACACTGAGAAAAGTTGATGTCTGCCCTGTGCTAAGGACAGACATGCCCTAGCGCATCAAATTATCACAAACACCCTATTGTCCCCCTTTATCAGATGGGAGAACTGAGGCTCAGAGAGGTTAAACAATGTGGTCAAGGTATGTGAAATGTCTGGGCATCCACATGGGCCCAACTATTGCAGGGACAGGTAGATAGCCTCCTGGGGCAGGAGCCGAAGCATGGCCACTTTCAGCGCTGGGTGACCACACCTCACCACAGCGTGGCCACCTGAAAATCTCTGACTCACAGGCTGTGCTCAGGTAAGGGACAAACTGCCTGTTCTGGGCATGCTCCACCCTGATTGGCAGACATACCCTGGGTATGAGCTGCCCTCCTACCTCTGCGCACCCACCAAACCTGGCATGTTCCCAGCTGCTCACACCACCCTGAGCCAGAGCTATGTGTAAACACACAACTTCCCTCTGGGCCACCACTTTTTGAAAGGCAGGACTTGGGGTTTGGAGAACTAAACCAAGGGGGGGTGGGAACAACCAGAAAGGGCACAGTGCTGGGCTCTGGTCTTGTCACTGACTCACTGCATGACCTTAGCAAATCCTTTTTCCCACTGGGCTAGTTTCCTGGACCCAGATCGTTCCAGCTGCTCCCCTCCCCCTGGCCTCCACTGCCCAGCCTGGGACCTCCCCCCAAGTTCGGCCAGGCCCACAGCTCCCCCAGCAGGGGTATGGAAGGCAGGAGGCGGGAGGCAGGAGACTGAAAAGCAAACACAGGTGCCTGCAGCTGCCACCAGAAATGGCCCATGGATGAATGTGGGGCTAAGGCTGTGGGTCCAGCGTCCAGGCTTGGCCCAGCTCCATTAGGCCAGGGCCACCCACAGCTGAGGAGCTCCCGTCAACCTTCCTGAGCAGTTCCAGGGAAAGGGAGGATCAACTGGGAGTCTGTTCCTGGAGACAAGAAAGAGAACAGGAGGAGGGATCCACTGAGGAGCTCCGGCAGGACTGGCTGGCCTCGAGGCCCTAAGAGGCAGGCTTCAGAGATGACCCTCCCACCAAATCGGAGCCATTCTGAAGGTATCAGGGGTGGCTATAGAGAGGGTGGGTAGGAAGACTCATGTGGCAGAGGAGGGAGGTTAGGTCCTGAAGCAGGCAATGGAGAAGACCTCCAGGGTGGCTCCGGCCCAGAACCTGAAGGGTCAGTTCCGAGAAGATGGAGATGAAGGGCAGCCAGCAGCCTCAGCAGACACATGTGCAAGGGAGCCAGTGCAAACCGGAGGTGTCCCATGTGCCTGAACGTACAGGGTTAAAATGGTGTGCCAGTTCTGGTGGCCCAAGGACAGCCAGACATGGGTGCCTGACGGCCCCCGCTCCACCGTGCCAAGCTCCTACACACACCAAATTATTCGTCATACAGGACGAATACAGAGATGGGCCCTCTGCAGTGAGGCGCATCTCCTGGACACTGAAGCCACAGAGACCACGTTCTGACACCTCCTACACACTACCAGAAGGGTCTTAGGAGAACTCCCCCCACCCGGTGACGTGCCGTTGGTGCCTCTGGAAGGGGCTGGCAGGTATCCCTTCCTCTTTTTGGAACCATCATGACCCCCAGACCTCAGCCCCCTACAGCCAGAACACTGATCCCCAAAAGAAGGGAAGCGGGGACCAGCCTAGATGTTGACTCAGCTCAATCCGGTGAGAGGACGAAGGGGATTTTAATCCTGCATTAGATTAACTAGGCTAAAGAAGCTCCAGAGCCTCCAGTCTGTTACTCCCACCTCCTAAACCCCAACCCCCGTCCGAAGGAAGGCAGAAGGGCAGCAGGGCTGTGTTCCTCCTGCTGGGTCAGTCCTGTCCCCTCCCCATGGCCCCCAGCCCTGGCGAGACAACCCTGCCTTTGCCTTCCCCTCTCGCTGTGCTTCAGGTTCCCATGGCAACCTCATCCGCAGCTCCGGGAAGGAGAGCGGGCAGAGCAGCTGTGGGGGTGGGGGAGAGATGCAGACTGCACGGGTGCCCTCCACTGCGGGGGAGCCCACAGGGCTAAACCAGGCCTGTCTGCGGGGCCCTCGCAGCCAATTCGGGTAAGGAAGCCAGCAAGCTTTGTTTCAGGGGGGAGGATGCAAGAACGTCAGCGCCTGCCCCTCCCCCGCCAGCAGGACTGCCTTCCTAGGGGGCCACAACAGATTTGACAGCCTTCCAGAAACAATGGCTGGGAATTCTACCTTTTCCCTCCTCTGTTCTCAGGGTTAAACTCCCCCCACCCCTGACACTCGGATCCAGTTGAGAGGAATGGATGCGTGTGCATGTGGGCGCTGAGACAGATGAGGAGTCCTGTAGTGACCCTGTGGGAACCCCAGCCCCACGCACAGACAGGGCCACAGTGAGGGCGTGAGGGGCCAGGGTGGGGAGAGCTGGGAGTCCCAGCCCTGCCTGGAACTGGGGCCAGAGCACAGCTGTTCTTTGTCCCTTTCATGGGCCAGCCTGTGCCCAGTCCCTCCTTAATCATTCCAAGCAGTGGGCCCTCTGAAGATGCCCCACCCCACCCTCAGAGCAGTATCAGCTGCTCTGGTAAAGAGGCATGGAGACAACCCACTGGACACAAGTCTGGGGGAAAGGGATCTAGCATTCCTGAGGTCAAGAACAGGGACAGGGCAGGGCAATCAGGTACCTGCTGGCAGCAACCTAGGCCTCCCACAAAACTAACAGGCACACAAAGTGACTTTTTCATATACTGTATCCTGTGCATATTTTCTCTTAGAATCAGCCACAAGGCTTTGGGCTAGAAAAAGCAGGCCTTACCATTGTGCCTGTTTTACAGATAAAGACACTGAGGCTCAGTGTCAAGAACAAGAGACCTTGTCCAATACACTCTCCCCTCCACCTCAGCTGCCTAGCTACCTAAGGGCAGGCTGACATCTCTCTCCAGGTGGACCCCAATCCACCCCCAGCTCTTAGAACTCTGGGGAAAGATGTGTTTAGCAAGGTGGGTAGAGAACAAAGTATTTTATCTTTCAGACACCCAGTGCTTTCCTGTGGTTCGCCATTATGAGAGACCCTCATGGTCTCTCAGCCACCCCGTCAGGAGTCGTCTGCTCCTTAAAAGTTTTCTAAAGCAGGTGTGTCAAGAGTCCAGTGACCTGTGAGGATGCAGCAAGAGCAGAGGCCCCTGCTGCATCCTCACAGATCACTGGAGGTTCATCCCAGGTCAGGGGGTTATCCCAGAGGACCTGAGTGTCCCCTTCCTACTTGGAGGGCCTATGAGGACAAGGAAGATGCTGAGCAAGGCTCCTGCTTAAGGGCTTACTGGTGACAGTGATGGCCTGGTGGGCACAGCCACCCCCAGTCCTGCCATTGGCCAGCTGTGTTCCCCAAACACAAGAACAGACCAGAGATCCTGAAAGCCCAGTTCCCTCTTTCTAATGCAACCTCACCCCTTCCAGCCTTGGACCCCTTCAAAAACCACAGTTTTTTGTTCAAGGAGGAACAAAAATACACCAACAAAAGCAACAAGGAGCCTTTGGTTTTCCCAAAAGGGAAGGAAAAAAAAAAAAAAACTCAGCCCCTACATCCTGCCTCTGGGAGGAGCATCTCATTCCCCTGCTGGGAACACTGCCCAGGGCAGTAGGGTGGAGGTTCCCTCCTAACCCAGCTTCTCACCAGTCCCCAAGCCTAAGGGCCTGAAATGGTGGGGACAGGAAACAAGGAGGCATTATTTGACCAGAGAAAATAAATGAGTAGCCAAGAAGATCAAGGCTAGACATGAGGAAGGACTTATCAGCCTTCAGGGATCAGACAAAATGAAAAATCAAAGCTGGTACTTCCCCCTAATGGCAATATTAAGGGGAAATGATTTTGCCAAGTTGGGTGAGGCAGGGAAACACTGGGTCTCAGTTTCCTCATCTATAAATCAGGGATGTTAGGAAGCAAAATGATCTCTGAAGTTCCTTGAGACCCTGGCATCTCTGAACGTGAGGATCTGGGCATGAGAGTGAAGCTGGGCTTCTACCTGGAGGCTGTTTGGATGCGCCTTTTGCACTTGCCTCCCCATCCCAAACACACACCACACTCCCCCTTCTATTTCCAACTCCCTAAGACAACTGATCCCATTTTTTCCAAGCAGAGACAGCAAATTCTGGGGAGATGGGAAAGTCCCAGGTCCCAGTCCTGGATTTACCCACCTCTGCCCCATTCTCCAAGAGCAGCTGGGATTTGAGGTAGTTTGCTAGAATCCAGAGACACTTTAAGCACCCAGCCCCACCAGCATAGGCCCCACCCCACACTGAGGCCCGGGGGAAAAATCAGGACCACAGTCCCTGGTTCTCCAGAAGCAGAGACATCACCCTCCTCAGCCCCTCACCCTACAGCTCAAGGAAACTGAAGGATGGACCTCAATATCTGAGTGAAGATGGGAAGGGTACAACTGAGGACTCCCTTTTTTTCCAGGCTGTTGTCCAGCCCCTACTGATATCCCAATGCAGAGGGTTCCCTGGCCTGCAACTCTGCCTGGGGTCTGCAGCCTCCACTGCTTCATGGCCCCCCAGGAGAAAGGAACAGGCACTTTTCTCCCCAACCCCACCCTGTGCCTATGACCTCAGACTCATAGACTATTTTGCACGGAGATAAAGAACAGGTTTGTATGGGTGGATAGATATGCCCCATTTTAAGAAAATCAGGTTTACAAAACAAATCGACAGCATAAATATTTTCCTAACCAAGGGAACAAGCTGACCCCACCTACCTAGAGGCTTCAAGAAAGAATCAGATTAACAATGGTTCTTGCACCGCTGGCTACTATGCAAAAGCAGGCATATGGCCTCTACCTTGCCTAGTGGCACCTGGGTGTATGAGGCGCCTGGGTGTGTGAATGTACTGTGGCCTGGAAGTATGAACACAAACGCAGCCTGTTCAGTCCAACTCCCTGATGTTTCTCCCTATCCCCACAGCCGGTGGCATGTGTGTCTGCAGGAACACCAGGCATATGTTTAAGCGCACGTGTGTTGGGGTCCACTGACACTCAGAAGGCTGGCTGTGAGCTCTGGCCTGTGTTCTCTCCCTGGCCTCACCCCAAAACAAGTTGGTGCAAGGAGAGAAACAGAAGTGGCCTTTTTGCTGCTTATAGTCACTTTCTAGAATTTAAATCTATTTCAGTCTTGAGAAGCCACTGGGGAATGACAGCTTTCTTCTCTCTTGACCACCCCTCTGCAAGATCCTGGCTCAGGGCTGGCCAGACATGAAGAGAATGTAGAGGTCTCCCAACAACCCAGACTCACATGCTCACTGGCTGGGCGGGCCCAACTTCATGGCAAAGTGCCAGGAGAGATCACCTGCCCCTCTGGGTGTTGTGTGGGAAGTGCTGCCGAGAAGGAAGGCAGGTCTAAGGTCCACAGAGCGAGACCAGGCTGGGAGCTGGGGCAAAGCTACATCCTGGAAACCCCAGGATTCAGGAACCTGAGGGTCACTGAGGGATGGGGCCGGAGGCAGAAGAAACCAGGATGGAATGAGAGTGGACACTCAGCATGAGGCCTGAAACGTAGCAGGTGGGACTCAGTACTTGTTGGTCTAGGCTCAGACAGGGTCAGAGGGCACTCCTTGCTGGCTGAGCCTACCTATGGTTTATCCTGGGATCCCCATATCTGGCTTGCTGGCCCTGCCCCACTACTCAGCAGACTCAGCTGAAAAAGTGTGAATGCCTTGGTCGAGGTGCTACCTCAGCTGGGCCACAAATCCCCCAAATCTTCGACCCTCTCATCTGGGGTCCTTCTCAGGTAATACCCCAGCTGGGCCAAAGGTCAACCAGGCATGGCAGAGGTAGGGTTGTAAAGGCTAGGGGATCACAGAAGGATGCAGGCAGGTTAGAAGCTGCATCCAGGGAAGAGGGCTTCATCTTCTGCCTCCCCTGGAGCCCCCAACCCCTACAGGAGCTCCTCATCCACCGGCTGCAGCCTCTCCAGAAGATGGTAAGAAAAGTAAGCTGGGGCTTTGGTACCAGGCTGAGGAAATGCTGAGAAAATAAGGACAAGACTGATTTCTTTCTCCAACTTCCAGTGCTCACAGAATTCTAGGCTACTGGAGTCTTAGGAAGAGATGTGAAGAAGGACGACCAGTCCCTTCCGCCACTGAGCTCAGGGCCCAGCCAGACTTGGGACTGGACGGGCAGAGGCTCATAAGCTGCCCCCAGAGGAACCTCAATGCCCAGAATGTAGACTGAGGTGGTCCAGCAATCAAGTGGTTAACTGCCCTGCCTCTGACTTTGCTGAACCCCACCCCACTCCCCAACAGAGGGAGGAAGTGGCAAAGAATCAGGGCTTGTGTGAGCCCTTAAGAATTTGAGGAATGTCCCATTTCCCTTGAGGGATAGGAGGGGTTGGTGGGGGAAGAGGCTCAGTGGAAGCTAATAGAAGGGGCAGCTGAAGGAGGAGCAGAGCTCTGACCCTCCTCCTACCCCCAAGCAACCTGTCCGGTAGCCCAGTCCATCTCAGAAGTGACAACATTAATGTTGCTTCTTGGGCTTAAGATTCTATCAGAAATCTGTTTTCCAAGCACCCGGCCCAGGTTGGCATACAGCAGCCAGCAGGCAGTAAATGCCTGATAAGTGATCAAACCCCCACGGAGGTGAGACTGAGGTATTAACAGGGACTTAGGGGTACAGTTAGGGAGAGATAACCTTTTAAAAGGGTTGAAGCCCCCAATCCCTTTTAGACAAGCTCCAAAGTTCCCCTAATGAGTGAATTTCAGCTACAGAGAGCCTCCTGACAGAATTAACAGAAAAAAACCTGGATTCAAAGTCAGATCCTGAATTTTTTTTTACTATTGATTTTTTTACTATTGATCTTCCAAAGGCCCTGCTCTGACAGGGTGGCTCTGAGGTCCTGCATATGCTGTGGGCTGCACTGAGTCTGCATTTTCAATGAGTGAGACCAACTTGGAGATGGAAGGCGTTACACTCTCTTCAACTGCATAGGATGAGATGGGGCTGTCCCTCTGTTTACCTCTACCCACCTCCCACAGCAGGCCATACGGCACGCCCCTGTGTGGAAGGAACAGAGCCCAAGCCAGCTGGCAAAGACACGGAAGGTCTACATGGCCTCCCTCAGCCAGCAGGGAAAATCCCAGGCCAGGCCACCCCTTCACACTGTCCTCAGTTCTCCAGGGATGAACACCAGGAGCTGGAGCCAGGAGCCCCCAGAGCGTAGTGCCCACAGCCTCTGGTAGGGGGGACACAAGAGGAGACAGCTACTGCTCTTATAGGGAGAGAAATGAAGGAAGGCAAAGCAGAGAACAGAAGAGGGCAGAAAGGAAGCAAGTCACTTTTTCCTGAAAGACCATACTGGGTCCTCTCTTGCAGCAGGGTACAGTGGAAAGAAAAGCCTCTTCCTCTCCTGGGTTGGAGCTAGCCCCTCACTAGCCATGTAATCTCTGGAAAGTCCCTTCCCTTCCCCAGCCTCGGTTTCCTTCTCTAAAATGGGAATATTAACAGCCTTTATTTCATCCAGTTGTGGAGAGGACTAAATGTGATTGATCCTTATCAAACAGAGTGTGGAAGTGCTTGGCAGTCACCCTGTGGTTATTAGAAAGAAGGACGAACCAGGGAGGTGCCCACCCAGCCCCTGCCCACAGCAGGACTCACGCGTTGCAGTAGGGCGTCTTCTCGTAGCCCTTGTAGTTCTTCATGTTGAGTGTCATCTTGCAGGTCTCGCAGTGGAAGCATGCTTTATGCCAGTACTGGGGACAGAGCGAGAGGGAGGACACCCGTCAGACACCAGGACTTTAGGAAGGGGACTCAGACTCCACCCCAGGGACTGGACCACACAATCACCCTGGTGATCTCAAGCCACAGGCTCTTGCAGTTGGTGACACTCCCCTCCGCTTCCCCATTTCCCACCAGTCAGCTGTCAGGAGGGGAGAAAGGCAGACCTGAAGCAGGGAAGAAACTGTGATGGTAGTGGCAAGCCGCCCTCAGAGGTAGGCTCCACCTCTCCAGGCCACTCCTGCTGCCCACCCCCCACGCCCGGCTGGAGGAGCCTCATTGCTTATGCACAGCTGCGCCAGGGTTGCTAAGAAGCCACTGCGGAACATGAAGGGGCAGCTCCTCAGCCTTGACAAGGCCTAGAGAAGAGGAGGAGGGCCCAGCCCAGTCCCACACCAGGGCCTCAAGACACACGTGAGCCCCTGATGATACTCCAGCTCTGATGCCTCCCCCTTCCCGTGGGACTCCTGACCAGGGAAGGGGGTGACAGTCCCAGGCCCTAGCCACCACACCCTCACCCTTTCTTTACCCTCCCCTTGCCTTTCTCTCACACCACCCACCACCAACCACCCCTAGCTGGGTAACGGGTGAGAGAGCACCCAGCAGCTGGGCTCCCTGAGGCACTAAAGAGCTCTGTGGGGAGGCAGGCCCCCCGCCCCATAGTGGACGTCAGGTCCACCTTGACCGGCTGTGTGACCTTGGTTAGGGCCCACACCTATGATCCATTTCCATGTCTGTAGCATGCAAAGAAGAATATTTATCCCTCTTGGGATTGTTGAGGATTAAATGAAAAATCACCTGCAAAGCCCTCAGCCCAGCACTTGGCACCCCGAAGAACTCGAATGTCAGATGCTGGGCAATGACAGGAAAGAACCTCAGCCAAGGGGGCTCAGTGGCTCATACTGGAGGGCCTGCACATGTTGGGGTGCAGGTGGGGCTTCGCTGTGGCCACAGCTCCAGTGCATGTGAGCAAGAATGAGTGACAGGTAAGACTCCCGCAAAGCTAAGGGACCTGTAATGGAGCAAAAGGGACCGATCCAGGGTGGCTGACGGTGGGGGGAAACAGAGTCAGCGACCATGAGGGAAGAGCAACCAAAACAAAAGAAGTGACCCCATCCTGAGAAATGTTGGTCCTCAGGCAAACCCATGCTAATGAGAGAGAAATCTGCCCCTGAAAATCAGGAGATCCCAGATGAGCACCTACCAGGAATCCAGCTTCTGGGAGCCCAGAATCTAGGCTGCATGGGTGACCTGGCTGGCCTGTCTCTGCCCCATTTCCCAGCAACCAAGGGAGACACTCCTGACCCTTCAAAGAAGGAGGCCAGAAGCCAGGGAAGGGCCCAGGGAGACTTTTAAAGGTACCCTGCACAAGGCTGGTTCTTGGCCATCTGTCAAGGAATTCCCCCAAGGCAGTGCTTTTCAAATGTGTTTCCCAGCCAAGGGCAGCTTCTGGGACACTCCAGAGGAGAGGACAGAAAAAAGGAAGTGAGAGGTTGGGATACCACTTCCCAGACCCTTCAACCAGACTTCTTCAACCAGAGACCACAGGGGTAAGTTGGGGGTAATGCCTTCTAACAGAGTACTTTCCCTATCAAGGAGACCCAAAGGACTCGCCAGTGGTGGAATGGTCAATGACATGATAGGAGAACCGCTTTTTTGGGAAGGAGGCTAGCTGGAATTCTGGAAGCAAAGCCCCCAACCCAGGCCTTTCCCAAAGCCCAGCACTGGCTCCTCCTGGGACAACACCCAACACATACAACCCACCAGGACCAGATAACTAGAACAGGGTAGTCCCTGTCCCGTCAGACCCCAAAGTAATAGCCCCTCTCCCTCCCCCAATGCCCAGGAGGCACTGGCAGAGTGCCCAGCCTCATCACCACCCAGTCTGCTAGCCTCTGCCTGCTTAGCTGCACATGCCCCTGCATGGGCCCCTGCCCACCCCACCCCCACCCCGCAGGGGCCTGCCAGGAAAAACATTCTCTGGAATCCAGACCATGACCCACTTTCACACACACATATGCAGGAATATGCACTGTCCTGGGACTGGGGACCTCCAAAGCTGCCTGCTGATTGACTTGCAGGAGATAAAGGGAGAGAAAGACAGCCTTACCTTATCAAATGGCCAGGTCCGAGCCTGCAGCCGAGGCCCTTGGGAAGCCAGCCTGCATAGTACTCCAGTGGGACTGACCAGGCTGGAGTATGGGGCCAACATCCAGTGGAGGGTGTCCATAAGACCCCAGCTGCTGCCATTTGGAGGAAGGGGAGCTCCCATGCAAGGGGAAGGTGCCCACTTCCACCTCATGCCCAGGGACCTCCCTGCTCCCAGCTTGACACATTAGAGGCTGAGTTCCCTTACAAGCAATCAGAAGCAGAATAACGAAAACAAGAGTGGACTGAGTGCCTTCAGGGTAACTACTGAGCTTAGTCTCCACATTTGTGAAGTGGAGCTAAAATCATGGTCCCCACAGAGGTGCTGGGAGGAGGGATAAGAAGACACAGCCTCCAAGTTTATCACAGCATCTGGCATGGCTCTCTGGCTGGCTGCTTCCTGTCACTTCCCTCCCCTCTCTGGAGGTGTCTGAGGTTAAAGATAATCTAGCAGCTCCTACCACTGTATCTCTTTGGGACAGGAAAGCAGGAGGCGGGGAGCAGAAGATGGCCAGTCACTTAATAGTCCCTGTGGGACAAGCCTAGGCCAGACACCCCCAGATAAAAGGAACCATCCCTGTCTCAATCCAATCTGGTGAAGGACATAGTCAGAGAAATACATCAATACAAGCCCACAGTGACCCTGTCTGCCTCCTTTCCTGTCCTATAAGGCCTGTCCCAGAGCAAGAGTTCTCCCTTCTTAGGCCCCAGGTAAGATTTCAGAGAAGTATTCCTGGGACTGGAGACTTGGGGGAGCAAAGTACACTTCTGGGCATGCAACTCTAATCCTTCCTGCTGTCCTGGAAGCCCACTGTTTCCCGTTCACAAAAACCAGACCTCTGGTGCCTGTTGGAAGCCTCACAGCTCATCACCCATGCTCCAGCACTGCCCTCAACTCTCCCTTGCACCAGCTCCAAACTTGTAACCCACCCCACAGAAAGGCAGAGGCTGACGGGGGCAGAAGCAAGGTCCCCACACCTGGGCAAGGCTTGGACAAGTCCCCATCCCTCCAGAATCACTGTGGAGGTGGGGGAAGCGGCTGCTCGCACTTCTGGGTGAGGGGCATGCAGCAAATGTCAGGACACTGTGCTGTAGCCTGGCATCTTGCCCTCTGCACCCGGCTGCCTGGTGTGGGCCATGACTCAGGACTGGAGAATGAGACCCTCCCCTCCCTTGTCACCCAGGGTTACAGTTTCTCCCTCCCCCAGGGGCAACACTGGGCCCCACCCTGGCCAGATCACCAGCCCAGCTCAGATGGCCACCTGGGCAGCTGGCTTAAAGGCACAGACCTTGGTGGCACCTCCAGATTCCCAGGGGGAGGTAATTATTCCTGTGGGCAGCTCCCGGCAAGAGCCCAGGCCCACAGCATTCCTCAGGCCAGAGTCAGGGAGGGGAGGGACCGCTATGGACACTAATGAGATAGTGTAAATAAAAGTACTTTTTATAAACACAACAGGCAGTGGAGCTGAGCACAAAGAACTTTAGATTTGAATTCCAGCTCTGGCTGAGAGGGGAATGAGCTATAGGACTTGTCTGAGCCTCCATTTGTGGGGTTCATAATTTATAGGAGCAGTGACATAGGTTTTGTGAGGATGCTGTGAAGACTGAGCTGGCACATGGCAGTAAACAGTAGCTACTATGAATGGATGGTCACAAGGTTGGGGTTCCCAGCTTCAGCTAGGAAAATGGGGGCACCACAGTTACAAGGACCTGTCTCCATTTTTTGTGTCCAGCCCAGCTGCCTTCTACCTTGCTGCCCCCTGGAATGGGAGTGAGGGGGAGGGGTGGCAACCAGAGGCAGAGAGCCCTCCTAATGGGTAATTTCAGGGGAACTAGCAGCCCACCAATCCTCTACCCTTCCTGAAAGTCTCCGGCTGTTTTCAGGAGCCAGGAAACACAAGCCAGGGGAGAGGGTCAGGCAAGATTCTGGACAATGCAGGTCCCCGGACACAAATGTTTCCCAACGGGGTCTGGGACAAAACTTCACCTCTCTTAAAATGTAGAGGACACTTTGATTCACAGTCTCCCTCCCTCCCCAAAGGCCCTATAGCTTCCCTTCAGAGTGCCTGGCACAATATAGGTGCTTAATAAATATATGTCGAGTGAATGAGTGAATGAGGTCACCCTGTTTCTCCCCAATTCTAATCCCAGAAATCCTCTGGGGAAGCAAATCTCAACCTCCTTCCTCAAACACTGTCATCAGCAATACATATTTATTCAGCATGCAGAGCACACTGGTTACTGCAGATTGGGGGCAGGGTGGCCATCACAGGTGACATGGCCTTTACCCACCTGAGCCTTTGGAGATAAGGCTCAGCGTGGAGAATAGGCTAATCCTTACGACAGAGATTGTGCTTTGGGTCCGGTCACACGGTGAGCCACAAGCCATAGGGAAATGATAGTGAAATAGGCGAGTCTAATTTGACTCTCTATCATAAATGGGCAGCCTTGGGAAGTTGGTTAGCAACTGTGCCGATGGGAATGAATGTCGCCTCTCCCAGGTCTCAGCCCTCTAGGCACCAATTCCCCAGTACAAGTACCTGCCCTTAGTGCCTGGAGAGGGTGGAAGGAATAGGTCTGATCCCTGGATATTCCAGGCCTCCCACTCAGAGTAGAGGGGAGGTATCCCCTGGGCCACCTCCTACAGGGAGAGCTCTAAAAAAAGGGAGGAATCACCCATTCCCACTTCCCAGGGAAACCCCTACCTGAACGTTCTCTTACAACTAGGGCAAGAGAACAGGTGGGGGGAGGGCACCTTGCAAGATCCCTGTCCCCCTCCCCTCCAACACACAGTAACCAAAGATCTTTAACATGAGCAACCAGTCGTGGGGCTCAACAGAGTATCCCAGAAAGACAGGAGGGAAGGCACAGCCCATACCAACCACATCCTCTTCCGGATCCTTTGGCAGACACTTTAATGCACTGCCCCACCTCCAAGGAAATGACATCACCATACCCATCTAACAGATGGTGAATACTGAGGCCTAGAACCATTCATAAAGCAGATGGAGGAAGACCAGGAGCTAGGACCAAGTCTCCCAACTGCTGGGCTAGCAATCCCTCCCATCATCCATTGCCCACAGTCTTACCAATTCATGACCGTGGAAAAGCGGGGCATAGGGAACTCAAGATGCAGAGGCCAAAATCCCCACCACCAGGGAACGGCACAAACCCACATGCAAGGACAGATAGTTCTTCAGCTAGTGCCTCCAAAGTCCTGCCCTCCAGAGGCTGGCATGGTCATTGGGAAGGTCAGTACCCACACCCCTTGTGCCCACAATATGGCCCTCCTCTCCTCCTGTCCAGCCAAACCCAGGAGAGACAGTGAAACGGCAGCAGCCCCTTATCACCCCTTCCTCCAAAAGCAAGTTCAAATATATTTCAGAACTGGGGAACCCCACCCTCTCACCCTGACTCAGAGACCAAAGGTCACTAAGGAAGCTCCAATCCCAAAGGGGAGGAGAGAGACACAAAGTATCCAATGAACTAACCTTTCCCAAACAAAACCTAGGTGGACAATGAACTTGGCCCTAGGGCTCTGCACCCCTCTTCCATCCCCCTAACCCCTGCCAGTTCACAGGAAGAAGGGAATATTTGGACTTCAAGCCAGCTTTGGGAGATGGGCGAAAGGCACTATGAAGAGAGAGACAGTATCACAGAGGCCTCTCCTCCAGACTGGGGAAGGGATGCAAAGAGGCACATTATGCCTTATAATCTTAGGGAGCTTAGAAGAGGACGGACTCCTACCCCAAAATGCTGGAAACACCCAGTTCTCTCCGCTCCCCTCCAAAAGTATAATGGTAACCAGATGAACGAATCCAGCGTGGGGAGGAGGGGGAGAGGACAACGCTTAAAGGGCACCAGGGGACAGTGAATTTCCAGAAGGCCACCTTCCCCTGCCCCTAATACCTCCCGCTTTTCATGGCTTCCCCCAAACTCAGCTAACCCCACCCTCCATTGGGGAAACCTGCTTTGAAAAGTTAGCTCTTTGTTCTACAAGCCTGTCTCAGGCTCTGATTACAATTTCAGGAGACCTCTGCGAAGCACCCGACCCACCCTGCTCCAGCACCCGATCCCGCCCCGCCCCGGCTGGGTAGCCCAGCACCGGGAGTCGGCTTCTTATTTGAGGTGGGGGGCTGGGAAGCTATGGAGGTCTGCTAGTCTATTAGCTGCTACACCACCGAGAGAACTGCAGGTCGTTCAAAATAGGGGGTATCGCAGTGGGAATCGGGTCCTTATCCGATGCTCAATTCACCAGATGCAACACTCGCTGGATGATGGCCCCCGCCCCCCAGTCTCCAGGCGGTGAAGCCCCGCGCTTCACGGCCAGAGCTGACCGCGGCGCGGGGCCCCCAAGCTAATGCCCCGCCCCCCGCCGCCCCCTCCCCCAGAGCCCCGCGCTTCCGCCTACTTGGCGCTCCGCGCCGCGGGGAGAGGGAGCGGCTGTCTCCTCTCACTCCCCGGCCTAGGGGCGGAGCTGCACCCCTAACCGTCCCCTACCCCCTATCCCGGGGCCCGGCTTTTCTACTCTTCCGCCGTCCAACCCCGGCGCGCAGAGCTGTCTTCGCCAGTAGTGGCTGCCCGCCACGCGTGGACTCCCTTGTCTCGCCTCGGATCTCCTGGTTTCCAAACCGGGGTCCGTCCCCACACCCCATGACACCGCCCTCCCTCCCTCCTCCCGGGACCGCGGGAATAAGGAGACGGAGACCCGGCCCCTCTCTCCTCCCTCAATCTGGAGCACAGTTTCGGGATTGCAAAAACGCGTCTCCCGGTCCCGGGACTCACCTTATCCAGACAGTTCACCTTCTCCGTGGGGTACACGATCTTGCCGCACCGGGCGCAGTTGGGATTCATAGCTCCGGAAAAGGCTGGGGCGGGGACGCCCGAGCTCGTGCACGTTCCCTCTCTCCCCGGAGCGAGCTGGCGGAAGACGGCGACGGCGGCTGCTGCAACTACACAGGCGGCGGCGACGGCGGCTGGAGCTAGGGAACTGGCCTCCGCCTCCGCCCTCCCTCCCCTAATAAACACAGCGGGGAGGAGGGGCTGCACCGGGCGGGGACGCGCCGCGGGCGCGAGCAGGAGCGCGAGCAGTGAAGCGCGCTCCCTGGGCGACGTGGGTTTGCGCGAGGGCGGTTCTGGGGAAGTGCTGCGGGGCTCAGGGTGCGCGCCAAGGTGAGTTCTGCTGGCCCGTGGCGCCCCTTAGTCCCCCGCGCTCTCCCAGGGCTCTTCCCGCGCTGGAGGCGGCGCAGAGTCTGTCTGGCCGCACTTCTGGGGAGGTTGGCAAACCCCTCGCACACATCGAGGGTGGAGTTGGAACCCTCCTAAACGCTCGACCATATTCCCCAGAGTTGGGGACTTTCCTTTGTACACACCGGACCTGGAGTGAACCTGCAAGACAGAACGGGAACCCTTTGCCCCGCCCCTCGGTTAGCCTCCCTTCCCCCCACATCCTTTCCCGCATTTGTAGGCGGAACCGGTCCCTACCGCCTAAACTCAGCGCCTCGCAGCCCGGGCGTGTTCTTCCCTCCCCACACCTCTGTTGTTCAGCTCTCCTGGGGATCCCCAGACCTGGGCACCTTCTGCTTTCCAATTGGCCCCGTTTTCTGCCCTGTCCTTTCTCCTTTTTCCTGTTTCCCACGCTCAGTGTAGGAGTGTCTTACCACTCAAAAGAGCCGTCTCCTGGCGAAGGAGCGGTGCGGGGGTATAGCTCAGTGGTAGAGCATTTGACTGCAGATCAAGAGGTCCCTGGTTCAAATCCGGGTGCCCCCTTGGTGGCTTTTCCATCCCTCCAGTATTTTAAAGTTGGTCCTAGGTTAAAATAAAACAAAGGGAGAATTTTTAAAATGCTCTACGCATTCTCCAACCGTAACGAGAGCCTTTGGTTTTGCTTCGTACCCGGTAGAATATAGAGAAGTGAGTAAGAGCACAAATCAGGTAAAGTCTGCTCTTCTCCATTACCCACACCAGGAGTGTCGGGATTTCTGTGGCCACCGCCAAAGCCTCGCATGTGTCAGGTGGTGCGAGGTGCCCCGTTCAGGGGACAAAATGACTCGCCCAAGTTGGCATAGCATTTCCGGTGGGGATGGGCGTGGGTCAAGAGAAGGAAACCCACAGCCACAGCCATTCTCAAACTTCAACTTTCTATATTACAGGTGACAGACGTGCCACGTTCACCCTTCCCTATTGCTCATGATACAGGCAGAATGAAAGCCCGAGAATGTTAAAATGGCCAATGTACACCCATAAATTCATTTTGGTTTACAAAAATAAAGGTACATTCTTACGCAAACTGACAAACTGATGCAGTGGTTCTCAAACTTGAGTACGTCAAAAATCACCTGGAGGCCTTATTGGAAAACCTCGTTTCAGATTCTGTAGGTCTGGGGTGGGATCTCGAAATTTTTCATTTCTAGCAAGTTCCCAGGGGATGCTGATGCTGGTCAGGGGACTACACTCTGAACTAGTACAAGGCCATCGAGTTTCATAACCTAAAGGTGGGGACAGATATATGTTGGCTGCGTGACTGCCAATATCAATGTCAGCCAGAGGAAAAGTGTGAAGAGAGCAAGGTCGTCCCTCTCGACTAGGTTTTGCCCAAAAAAAGGAAAAATAAAGGAGAAAGGCAAAGGCATGCTGCCTGGGTCAGGGGGCAGCGGCGATATTTTAAACCCGGAATCTGGTTGTGTCATCCCTAGGGCCCCAGGGGAATACTCAAGAGCATTTTTCCCCACGGCTCCCTTTAACTGTGAGATGTGTGGCGAGGCTGGACATGGAGACTGAACAGAGCTGCTGTCCAGTGCAAAGCTCAGGCCAAAGAAATACCTAACTTCTCGCCCCTTCCCTGAACACCAAGCCTCAAACTTACTACCTGTAGGTTTATCAGGCCAAAGCCCTTTCTTTAAGCTCATGTAAAGGAGAAAGCCATCCACTTTACACCTTCTTTCTTGGGTTCTGTTAAACATCGCGACATTATAAACCTTTTGAACTTGGTTTCTGTTCTCCTAAGTCTCCCTGGTCAGAGTAGAAGCTAGGCAAAATAATATTGCCCTGCTCCATTTTTACCCCGTAAGAAGTTACAACTAACATTAAACCAGTAGATCTCAAAAAGTCTCAGAGGTGCAAAGCGTTCCACACCTTTTCTTTCAACCTGAGTGTGCAGGAGCACTTCTTGTTGCTCTCAGGATATAAGATCTATATGTGGCCTTAGACCCTGTGTAACCTCTGGGGTATTGCTCTTGACTCCTCAGGTACAGGGAATATTTGCAAGGGGAAAACTGGGCCTATGGAAGTTACACTGGGAGTCTTCTAGGGATTTTGGATTCAGAACCCACAGATGTTGGGGTATTTTGGGTTGTTCCTGAGTGGAGGTGAGAAAGGAAAGGCCAAAGAGGGGATACCTGAACTTGAACCAGGGACTTCTTGATCTGCAGCCAAATGCTCTATCACTGAACTATACCCCCTTTCTTTGTAAGGATTTGTTAGGTTTGTTTTAGAGCAATCATGAATTTTCCATAGTGAGAATTGCTTGTTTTAAAATTAATCTTTTCTTGCTAGGTGATAGTGATTTTACTAATAAAGAGGAACAAAAGTTAAAAGAGCAACTAAAGACATGGCATTTTGAAGACATGTGAACTTAGGTACCAATCTGCTTTTTCTAGGCTCAATTCTGTATCCACAATTCCACCCATCTCTTTATACTAAGAAGTCAGAGAACAATCCCTTGCAAAACTGAATAGGGAATCCTTTCCTCTGGGTCTCTCTAAAAAGAATACAAACACTAAATAACCAAAATAACCAGCTAAAAGACATCCCCACTGAAAGACCTTCCCCAACTATACTCTCTAGTGGTCCCCTCTGTTATGGAGCAACTACTATGTGCCCCACTCTAGGTGAAAAGCATACTTTCAATAGGCACAAAGGTTCTTCGCTCTCACTGAGTTTAAAACCTAGTGAGACAGACTAGAAATGAGAAAGCTAAGAACTAAATGACATGAAAGAGACAGCCATTTGGCCATCTGTGGGGGGGAGGGCATTCCAGGTAGAGGAAATGGCTAATACAAAAGCCATAGAGCCAAGGTGTCTGGAGGAAGGTGGACCAGAGAAGAGCTAGTAAGAGAGCTGGAGAAGTAGCCAGGATGGTAGAGGGTGTTGTAAGCCAAGGTAAGGAGTTTGGATTTTATTCCAAATGAATGACAAAAACAGCCATTGGACAGTTTTGAGCAGAGAGATTTGAAATCACCAACCACAAGGCTGACATAAACTAAGTACTCAAGAATAGACATAGAGAATACACATCTAGAATATTATTCAGCCTTTAAAAAGAAGGAAATCTTGCACTATGCAACAACAGGGGACATTATGCTAAGTGAAATAAACCAATCATAGACAGACAAATACTGCATGATTCCACTTACATGAGGTGTTTAAAACAGTCAAACTCACAGAAGCAGAGTAGAACAGTGGTGGCCAGAGATGAGGGGAAAGAAATGGAGTTGCTAATCAATGGGTATAAAATTTCAATGATACAAGATGAATTAAGTTCTAGAGATCTACTATACAGCATTGTGCCTATAGTTAACAATATTATGTTGCACACTTAAAAATCTGTTAAAAGGGTAGATCTCATGTTAAGTGTTCTTACCACAATAAAAGAAAGCAAAAAGAGTGGACACAAAGAGACAAGTTAGGATTCTACTGCAGTAGTGCAAGTAAGAGATGGTGGTGGTATCCCTATTGCTGCTGTAGCAAATTACCACAGACTTCTTTATTAAAACAACATAAATGTGTTATTTTATAGTTCTGCAAGTCAGAATTCCAAAATCAGTTTCACTGGGCTAGATAGAATTAAGGTTTTGTCATGTCTACATTCCTTATGGAAGCTTTAGGGGAGAATCTGTTTCCTTGACTTTTGTAGCTTCTAGAGGCTGCCTGCATTTCTTGGTTCATGGCCCCTTCCTCCATCTTCAAAGCCAAGGTAGCATTTCCTCACCCTCTGATCTCAGCTTCAATCCTTACATCTTCTCTCTGTCTCTGTGATCCTCTTCTGTTCTTATTTAGAAGACCCTTGTGATTATATTGACCTCACCCAAATAACCCAGGCTAATCTCCCCAACTCAAGATCCTTAACTTAATCACATCTGCAAATCACCATTTTCATGTAAGCTAACATATTCACAAGGGGACTGGGACATGGACTTATTTGGAGGGCCATTATCTAGCCTACCACACTGAAACACCGTGGCAAGGGAGCCAAGGGCTTTCTGTATGTTGGATGGCTTAAGGAAGATGAGAGAAAGTGAAGAATCAAGAATGACTCTTATTTTTTGTCTTTGCTCTCTGGGTAGATGGTCGTATGGTTTTATGGTTTCTTCAGATAAGGAACATTGGGAAAGGAATAAGTTTAGAAAACAAAATCAAGAGTTGCTTTTTAAAGCTCTTACACAGAAAGTAATAAAGTACAGCCACCTGTCCTTCATTCTAGGTTGGAGTCAACATGTTAAGTTTCAGGTGCCCTATAGACATTTAAGAGGAGAAGTTAAGTATGCAATTGGAGACCCCATTAGTTCTAGAGATTAGGATGAAACCCAAGGTGGAAATATAATTTTGGGAGCTGTTAGTGTATAGTTAGTAGTTGATGAAGAAGGTAGTCAGTCCCAGAAGTGTGCTAGGTTAAGCTTATACCGGCTTGTGAGAATCGAATGTTAAATTTTCAGGAATTTTTAAAGCTAGTTGACTTCACTGTGGTAGATTGAAAAGGGAAGACAGAAGTATTTAAACCATAGGACTTGGCAAGTGCTACGAATCAAGTGCCCCAGAGCCAGTTATTAGTCATTTACCAGCATGCCACTGCTTCT